ATAAATGTTGGGGTGATCCAGTGATTGTATTATTCGCAGCTCTGTGCGTGCGGTTGCGTTGTTGGTTGGATGCAAGTGGTGCTGTTTGTGCGGACGATGGCTACTTGCAAGACATTGCAGTTCTGAGGATGTTTTATGCCGACCGTGGGCAAACGCACCACGGGCGTCGAGGAATTTTGTGTTTCTGGCCGTGAGGGCGAATAGCCGCCGCACATCCAGTGGCTACGTGCATGCTCCTTTCGCCGCGGTACGATGGCGAATTTTGGTGACCTTTCTGAGTTGGTGCCTTTAGTCAAGCCGGCCGCTTGGGTTCAAGCTGTGTCGTCTAGAATGCGTGCGTGCATGTGCATCTGACAGGTGTGAAAGTGTGTGTGTGTGCGCACTCCCTGTATGCTCTAGGTGATGTTCATATTGTGGTTGCAAGATGGTCAGTTCGAGGTCTCGCCACCGGCAGCAGCTCGTTTTATTTTCTTTGGAAACTTGCTCCGAGTCAGCATTCCTTTGTGAGTCATTTTAAAAATCCCATGAGAAGCAGAGTATATTTTCCATCTGTTACAGACTGTGAAACACAGCCAGACTTTCCGTCCCAAAAATACTTCCATTAAACTCCACTAAAGCTACCTTTAAACATTGCGTGGAGGGTCAGATATGTGAAGGAGGCATATTCTTTGCTAATTTATTTTGTCACATTCTATATACAATGACGCGAATGATAATTTGGGTTAGAATATAGTTTTGCATTGAACTAGTGCCGACATCTAAAAGAGACGGCCCTTGCATATAAACATCTGGCAGTTCACCAGCATTGTTTCAAGTAAGCCTGACTACCAGTCCAGAGTTTGCTTGCATTGAACCAAAGTTACTGAAATCATGCACCCCAAAAAAGGCCGTGTTGCTGATGGGATGTGTACATTTTGTTTCTATATTTTACGTCGAGGGACATACGTGAAGGAGACATATTGTCCACTTATGTGTTGTTTATAATCGGTAATCATCATTTTCCACATTGTTAGAACATGGCGTTGTTCGTCCGTGACGTTTATCAATTTCACTCATTGTCAGTGCAGAGTGGGTAGGTATCTCTCCATAATCCACCAAGCGCACCTCCCAAGTCCCTAGATTGCAGGCATGTGCTACCACGCCCGGCTGACATTTGGAGGAGGGCCCTCGGCAGAACTGCAGATATTTCTGCTTTGACTGTCAGCAGGGCTTTTACCAAGGTGGGGCATGTGTGTGCATGCTCTAGGATACCACGGGCCTCGTGTTATCTGTGGAAAAATGAAAACGAGATTGAGGTTAGAATGTTGGACTGCAAACATCAAGTCCGTGTCATACACATGACTGCACCTGCTTCTATATGTATCTAGTCGGCGTAACAGTTGACATATATGCATTCACCACAACTACTTAAAATTATAATTGATTAATAATTGCATATGTGCTTATTTTTGCGTGTGTTTTTTTTACTTAAACGAGAATGCGTCTGTGAGCATACTTATTACATTTATGGCATCATATGTATCTGACATTGCTCATAATACGATTGCTATGCGTTAGGCGTGCCATTTAAATTGTATTATAGTCATTGCTCTAACCCCAGAGGCAGTGGCGGCCCGTGGAACTGCTACATTCCTTCAAAAACGCACATATTTTTAGTGAAAGTGACCTTGTAACACTTAGGGATATGTAGTTACCATTCCATGTCAATCATATCAACTGATCAAGCGTTTGTTCTTTTTTTATCCAAACATAGGTGTGGATTTTTTTAGCGTTCTGGTGATCATACAGTTATCATTTCCACAACCACAGCAAAGGAAAATGTAGGGAAGTTTGATGAAACCCTAACATTTGAACATCCTTCATAAGATACAATAATGTGTGTTATAAAGCACAACATAAGGCACTGAGAGTGTGCTTATAATGCATGGGCTAGGAAAGTGTAATGTTTAGAGTATTTGGCTGCTATACATTTCCACATGATAAGCCACTTTATTGAGATATTATTTGTGGCCAGGTCACTTCTGAAAAAGAGCTAAATAGCCTAATGGCCCTTACCTGGTAGCATGAAAATAGTCTAATAGTGTTTAGTTTCATATAATATCCTGGAGATGGTGGGTAATTACACTCATTCCTTTAAAAAAATTTCCATTAAAATAAATAATGTATTCACATATAACACCTCAAATACATCTCTCTGAATGGAGTTGCAGTTAAAGCAATTGACTCACAATCAAAATGTTGCAAGATTTTATCCCGATCTTGGGTAGATATGGGGGATCATCCTTACAGAGTCCATGGTATAAGTACTGTATCACGTCAATGGAAGTCGGCAGCGCTTGTCCTATGGAGAGACTGTCCCCACCAATGGGTTGTGGAATTTCTACTGCCGGGTCAGATCCACCAGTGAAGGATAGCATTGAGGGCTTCATTGTTGGGCCACCAAAACCAGTACTGCCCCATTAACCCAATCGAGCACAAAGACAACTTGATTTTACACCTAAAATGCTCAAGGACATATATTTCGAATACGTCTGCGTTGCAGAGGCCTCTACAAGGGATGATACTAATTCATTCAACATGGAGAGCCTTGCACACGAGAACTACTCTCCCTTATGGTGGTTCACTCGTGATGAATGGCTTGGCAGAGCCAACAGGAAAGATTTCATGCCAAGCATTTGTTCAGCACATTAGATTTTAGCCACAAAATGTGGGCTAATTTAAACATAATAAATTATGGCTTGCTTTATTTAATACTGGTGATGCGCACATTACTTTTTCCACGTTATGGTATATATGCCAGTAAACATAAAAAAAAGAATTGTAATTGCAATTGGAAGTAAATTGCAAATTTGTTTGCGATTAAATTGTGTAAAAATGCCCATTGTAGTAATTTAACCGCATATCATCTGGATTTCAATGTGACATGCCTCTGTTCTGTGGGTTGAACTTTGATGCAACTTCTGAGGGAAAGTATTGCTAGGGGTTTGTCTGGTATTGTTCGAGATGACTTAAATTATGACAACAACCAGACTAATTTTATTAACCTCTTACTCTGCTTCCAAATCAAGCATGCATGTGCACATTTGGGCATCTCAGAATTAATTTTTCTATTTATATACAATTTACATTCTTTACCATTACAATGAAAATGTTCCAAGTGTCAACATTGTGGTCATCCCTAACAGTGGTAGTCCTATGGACACTCACCCCCATCATATGAATGTCCACCACTGGCTCGGGACTGTAAGCGGGAGATCAGCACCACCAGAACGCTCGTATCAGCAAATACATCACTGACTTTTGGGTGGCAACATGGGCCTACGGCTAACATGCATTGCACATTATTTGCAGTGCATACACATGTTGAGTACGTATCAAACACGTGTATTACACTGCAGATGTTCAAACGCGTATGCATAGTCAGGTAAAAGGGTGTCTCCATGCTCAAACGAGGACCAGGGATATTGCTTGTCTCCATAAATGGCCATGAGTGGTGGAAATTCCACATTTTCATCGTGGGAGCCTTATGACAACCAATGTTGACTTATGACAATGTAATACTCTTTTGTTTAACCTCAGAAGGAAGATTTCTGAATGCTATGTATTTTTTTATTTACAACATTACTTTAAAAAACTGTTTTTGCTCCCATCGACTAGTAGACAAATCCCTGATTTGTGGACGTTTTAATGATCTATGTGGCAAGTCAAATATCCCACATTCTACACGTTAACCGTGATGGAGTTTCAGAGGTCCGCCACACTTTGATGGAGGTCCACAGCATGTGGCTCCCACATGAACAGCAGCACAGGGTTAACTCCATTTCCCACAACCACACGAGTGCCCTCTCTTGCTTGACTGTCTTACAATGGCCAGGGAAACATGTGGTTTTGGGTGGAATCTGCCATTTGTCCCAGACGCTGAATAACCAGTGTTTCGCGGGTGCTGCACTGTGTTTGGGGAAATGTAGTCTTACCACAAGAACTGGGCACATGCGAAAGCAGGCATGTCGTGAAAATACATCAGACATCTGTTAAAGGTTTAGCTGAGACTTGTGGTATTTCCTCTTGTGTCTCTCTTAAAGGCACATATTGAGCAGAAGCCGTATAGTGGTGGAAATACTATCATGAACATTTAGAAATATAAACTTTATCATTTGTGTTATGAATGTTGCTTGCCCTCGACAGTATGCATACGAGTATCATACACGCTGGATACGTAGTATGTGAGAAGTGAAGGGACGCATAAACCAGCTGTACAAACAAGAAAAGGCGAGCCATCTGCAAACATTTCGATGAACACTGTGCATGTATACGTGCTGGGCCAAACCCATCTTCCTCAAGGGAAAATCATATTCTCTGTTGTGGACTGCAGAAAAGCCACGATTGAAACTTTAAATATGTCGATGTTGTTTAAAAGCTAAAACGCATAATTACTCCACCTCCACCAGCGCTATACAAACTTCATGCTTTTAATATGGCTTAAGTAAATCAGAATTTATTTGGAAGATAAGTTTCTTGTTGCTGCTAGCTTCAGGAACATTACTACCTATCTCTACGCTGTTACAAGTTAGCGGTGCATTCGAAGGGTGTACCGCGGTTGGTGTTGCATAGGTCAGAATATGTCGCGGGCATTGCGTCGAAACTCATCCCGTACCTGTGCTCGACAGGGAGCATTGGGGCCCCGTGGTTTTTCATCAAAAAAGAGCTCTCTGCGTTCTCGACGCTAGAGGTACACCCCCCCCCCCCCAACTGCGCACGCTTCGTGCACTCTCTCAGACGAGGCAGCATGAATCAATTTTCTTTAAAAAGAATTCTCCGGACCGGGGTGGTGGGTGGGTGGGGAGGGGAACGCTGCTCTTGGTGGAGGGGAGGGGAAATAACGGGTGGGGAAGGCGGGACGGAAGGGAGCAGAGGGCCCGGGAGCGAGTGGCCGGTGGATGGCTCGAGTTTCAGCCTCGCAGGGGGGATGGGATGGTCAAATGCCATTTACTCACCGCCCATATAGACGGACGGCCCCATCGTTTAGCCACATAAAGGCTGTACCTGGCCCTTAGGAGGCGGTAGTTGAGTTTCTGCTGGGGCCTGGTACTTGGGGGAGACAAAAAGAAACGGTTTTGCTCGCTGCATGTCCGGAGTGTAAAACAAGGATTTCACCAGTTAGACACAAAGTCTACATGTCTAATATTTAGACATGTTCAGCTTTGTGCACTCAAGGACTCTCTTGCTGCTTGTGGCAACGCAGGCGATAATAACGGTGGTCAGAAGTCAAGATGATTATGGTAAGGATCATGTTTTTGTGCGCGTGTGTGTCTGTGTTGCATGTTGTCACACCCGACGTTGGGGATTGTTGTAAAATGCTTTGAACGCTTCTGGGCGTTGGGGCACGATGCCTGCGGTTCGTGCGAACGAATGTAGCACTCTTGTTTGTATTGTAAGGATGTTCTGGTGTCACGTATGGGTAACGTGCTTCTGCAGGACAGCAGCTGAAAAACAGACCCGACAGCTTCATTGCAAACAGTACGAGTGATGCATTTGCATCAAAAGTTTTAAAAGAGGTGGGGGCGGAATGCGTAAGCATATCTTGCTAGAGAATCGACAAGTGCAAAAAAAAACCCAGTTATTTTCTGCGCCACTGGCCTGGGAATGCATTCTACTTACGCGTCGACCGTTTGCGGAAAGAAAAAATGCACTGGAATGTGAGATGGGCAGCTACCTCCGACCGCTGGGTTCAGTCGGAGGGAGCTGTGGATGCGTGCTCCTTTCCTCGCTCCCTCCCTCCCTCTCCACAGCGGGCTGCGTGGGGCACGCCCCCCCCCCGCCGTCCCCTAGCAGGAATGTCCCCAGTGATTAAGAATCTGTCACAAGGCTCTGGCAGGCAACGCCGTGCATCCGCCATACAAAGGGCGATAGAGATACACAACTAGCAGCCAGCCAGCTTCTTCACGTCCGTAATTAAGAGTGCCATGCCTGATAAAGGCATGGCTGTGCGTGTGTTTGTTCTTTTGGTTGGGTTTCTGCAAATTGTAGTTCCTGTGCGTACATGGGGTGCAGACTGTAGCCCAAAGTGGCTTGCTTTCAAGATTTAGATAATATGTTTCAGAAAACATGTGTTGGCCTCATGGACAAAAAGCAATTTCCATGTGGAATAATATCTGCGAACTGTTCACATAATTCTTTGTAGACGTATATTTTGGTCTTCAAGAAAAGTGGTGTGGTCACATTCTTTAATGTTCCAACAAGTTTAGTTTCCATGACTCCTCTGCCAGTATACTTTTGTTTGCAGGAACTCTCCGCAGTTTTAGCAGCTTTTGATCTTGTTCATTGAAGGCCTGTTTTAGAGTTGTGGCACGTTGTAGTCTGGAGTTCCAAACAACTTTTGAATACAGCTTTCAGTGGAATTATTTTTGGCACAATATAAAACAGTATGTTTTGCATATGTTTAGTATGAATAATTATTTTTCATCATTAAATAAGTGTATGTGTTAGGGTTTTCACTGTTTTATACTGCAAACAGTTATGCATCTTTTAAAACCATGCACAAAGAGAACCTGGAACAACTTACAGACAGAAAGACAAATATTAATTTAAAATAATACGTTTGTGTTTTTCCTTCGTGAGCCGTCTGCCCAACGCATTTAATGGTAACACTTTATTGGTAATACTGGTGCTTAAAATACTGACATCTTGCCAAGCGCACACTGCTGGAGGGATGTTGGTCATCTTGGCACCTTGCTGTGACCTGTGGCAGCGTCAGATCTCTTGGGATTTGCAAGTGCTTGGCACGCTACCTCTTGGAATGTCTTGTCATGTTTTGTTGGCTTGGTGACTACGAGCAAGTTAGAGACTCGAGCAAGAAGCAAGCGTACCGCTCTCTAAACTGGAAAAGCTTAGCTGCCCCGGTTTTCAGAGGATGTCTGCAAGGAGGAATTTATCCTGCAACAAAACATCTTTCGTTAACTATCTTTGTAGAGGCTCAATACAGCATGGGTTAGCAGGGATCATCTGACATTTTTACCGAGGCCAGACGGGGTTCCAATGGGCCCTTTTATAGAGGGCCGTGCCCTCTTTAATGCAACAACATCTGTGTTTTTTTATGCAAGGGGAGAACACTCAATGTTAACAGCCGTCTGTAAAACAGAAACACAGCGTGTTTTCTGAGGCGATACAGAAGGAATGTCTGAAATGGTTTCAACACCTGCGAGGAAATGAATGACTTGCCTCGTTTCTCAAATAATGCGTTTGCAATGTCTCATGCCAGAACCTGGCATCATGATACCATGCGCACTTACAGTGTATCATAAGTACACTCTTCTGCAGATTTCACCTTCATACTACAACATTTTGTAGATGGATGGAAATTGTGTCTTGCAGGGCTGGTTGAGTGTTTAGAGCCAAAATAACACGTTCATATCCTCCGCTATATTTAATCGAATAGCCAATATATGGTAAAAATCATATAAGTGAAATACTAATTTAGTATCAGTGATTTTATGATGCAATACTAAAACCCAGTGGAAATTTATTTACCTTTATGATTACAAGTTGAGTTTGCATGTACCTCTTGATGTAAATATATTTACTTAAAATAATTACGTCTTTAAATTAAAAACTTGACACTTCTTTAACTAAATGTTCTTCTTTGCATATGGATATGCGATCAAACACATTCCGCTGTTAATAGAAAGCAAAATCTTAATGGTTTGCATATTGAATTATAGTAAGACGTTATAATGCTGCACATTACCTATTTGTGCAATTTACTATATGCACACCGTTTAAATTACTCTTCCATGGGAAATTCATTGTGTGCATTTCATGTTTTGTTTTGTGATAATAAGGTGTTAACTTTCTGTATGTCGCATAATTTTTAAAAGCACTTCAATCCACTGCTTGATGAAGACATCCCCATGCCCTGTCCGTCATGAGAGTCGTTTCACCATATTTCACCACGTTGGTCAGTGCAGGCTGCTGAAAGGCGCGATCCAGGACCGGTTCTGACATTTATTTCCGCCACTGATGTTAGCCGTGACTAGGAATCGAACTCGGGTTGCTGAGTACATAGCGCAGCATGCTAACCACTGTGCCACCGCTGCATTACAGCATATTTGACATCATTTAGCAAGTGGATTTCAAGTTTTGCAGTTGTTTCCCCTGCATTTTTAACAATTTATTTTGGACCCAGGTCTCCCTTGGAAAAGTGACTCTGCGTATCATCTGGCCCCCAACATAAAGAATAATGTTTTAAACAAATTTAAACCCATTTTACAGTGGAACTATTTATATTATATTGTGTAGTATTTCTAATTTAGACATGCCCTCTCATATGCTTCTTTATATGGAAAGATGACAGGTCAAAATAAAACTGTAATAGCTCTCTGAGGCAGGATATTGAATGATAGAGTGCTTTTCATCACAATTGCTGTCGAACCGTTATGTTTTTATTGTTTCATCATTCCCCCGTCGCATGCTTTCATTTCAGATGAAGACGTAGGAAGCTGTACACAGGATGGACAAAAGTATAGTGACAAGGACGTCTGGAAGCCTGAGCCGTGTCGTATCTGCGTCTGCGACAATGGGAACATCCTCTGCGATGACATCATCTGCGAGCCGCTGAAGAACTGCCCCAACCCAGAGATCCCCTTCGGGGAGTGCTGCCCCGCCTGCCCGACGTCCGAGTCCAACGGCAACGGCAGTAAGAGGCCCCCCTGCATCACGATTTCGAAACAAACCCACGCTGATCCAGCAACTGCCACAGTTTTTCGGGCAGCCACTGCCCATACTAAATTCCATCATCAAAAAGTTACGGTGCAAAACTAAGATGCCATCTTCTCAGAGTAACCACAACATAGTGCCTTGATCAGGACTGTGAGATTAGGAGATTTTATGCACAATTGGCTGGGTTTTTTAAGGCGTTGTGAGATATGATTGAGAATACCAATTCTTTGAAATATGTGCTCTTTTTTTTAACTCCACTCTGGTAAATGGGGGACTATTGAGCTCTGCTGTCCAGAGGTTTTGATACTGTTTACCGAAAAACAATCTGCCAGCCCTGACCTTGACGATCATGGAGACTGATCATTCCATCATTATTGCTATCAACCACATCCAATCAAATTTGCAAAATCGAGTGAGGTATTATAATCACTGTACACTAATATTTTCACACGAGTGAAACATTACGTATCATCATTTCTTTCAGAAAATATGTATGTTGTAATTTGTTCAGTCATTTCTGTATTATGCTGTGTTACTTTCTATGCATATTAGTATGTCACATGCTTAGGGTTTTTTGTTGTTTTTTGTACCTGTAACTATTAAATTGACACATGTGTGCAAACTTAATGTTGTGCATGAGTTACAAGCTGTTAGGATGCATGCCTACAGCTCAAATTGTTAGAGCCTTGCATGGCCGCTTGCAATGGCTTCATGCCAATCGTGACACGATTTTATCTTTAGTCGCCCAAGAACGTTGCGAGATTAGGAATGGCTTTCATAATTATTATTTTTCAAAGGCATTGTTATTTTCACCACAGGTTAGTCTTTTTAATTGCATGTGCAATGAGCGGGTATAAACTCGAGTTCAATAGGAGAGCGGAAGCAATGTTTAAATGCACCACTGGGTGCTGCTTGGCTGCAGGCAGACCTCTTCTCCCAGAAGGCCGCATGGATTTCTTGGCTGGAAAACCCTGAGGCAGAACCCACTGCATACCTGACGTGGAGCCACGCCACATCCCTGTTACCATTTACAGAACACATTCAAGCAGACAGCGTGAATGACGTTGCTGCTGAGCCAAACTTGCATTTTATGCTGATTCGTGTTCAATATCTTTTAACACGAATACAGATTCCATCTGTGTTGCACAAATACACGCCCAACTCTGCTGAAGTCATATTAATTAACTTGAAAATGTTTATGCTGTTCGTGAAAAGTTTGGTCAGAAGCGATTGTGTCACGTGGCTGAGAGTAGTGCAGTCCTGTGATGGAAAGTCGAGGCCACAATCTGATTAAGCCTGACTCAGGCTAGATGATGGGCCCATTCTCCAGCTCCGAGTCAACCCAATAGCAGTCTCTCCACCGGTCTCAAGTTTGAAGACCTCTGACCCTAAGCTCTATATGGCCATGTTAGATTACTTCCAGTTACAATTTTTGGAATTTCACATTCCTAATACATTCTTCTGTTTATGTCATGTTTATACTATACGTGCATACTTCATATATATTGTACTGCAGTACCGTTGTGTTTTATGCAATGCAGTACATATAACACTATAGCTTAAGATTGTATACTGTATAAATGTTTGCATATTACCTTCTCCAATGCAAGAGCTTGTGACACACACGTTGGTAAACACAAAGAGCATGAAACAGCACTCGCTTCGTGCTATAGGCCATGCTGGACAAAGCTATAGGCGCTCTCCCCCTGCGCCTCTTAGCATGTGGACCAGTGCTGGAATGTTGGGGGCCCAGCTTTCGTCGTGAAACTGCTGAAAGAAAACTGCATATTTTGTAAACCGTGTTAAATACTTAATGTCCTCTCGAGAACCCTTGACAGCAAATTATGGTTCAGCACATGCGCTCATCACCTCTTCTATGGTCTGTTGTGTTCATGTCAATATAAATGCTTTAGAATTTTTTTCTCCCAAAGTGCTGAGGTGTGTTTTACCATCCGTGGTTGCCACTGGGCCCTTCACTCTTTATGCCAGCATCAGAGCAGAACAAACAAGGGGTTGACCCAGTGCCATGTCATCTCAGAGCCCTTTAAATTTCCCACTCTCACAGAGGCTCTGCTTCTTTCTTACAAAAAATATTTCCCCAAGTGTGGAATCATGCACCCTAAATCCGTTATCGCTTGAGGTGAAACATCTGCTGTAGCAACGCTGCTGCACACTCGGGTCCAAGTCGTGTTCATTAGGTTCTGATGGCAGCAAGGACAGGAGTGACAGCTGTCATCAGGCTCGATCATTTTTAGCTGCCTTGTGGCCTCATGCAAGGATAGGAGACATGTCATCGATTGTCCTTGGCCCAGTTGTCACTCTTGGGGGTAACTGACAGCATGTGATGTTTTTGTTTTGCAGGACGTGTTGGAACCAGGGTAAATATGAATGAATTTCCCACTTACCTTGTTATTATATTACTGTATTAGCACATTGTACAACTGGATGAACATCATTGTCTTCATGTGTTACGTATATTTACATTGCATTGTGAAACTGTATTTATAATGTATGCCTATCATGTATTTTCAATGTATTGTATTGTAACATAGAGTGATATGTATAATTTACTACGTGACTAAAATTAAGATTAGCATTCACTGCACTGCACAGACCACCACGAATGAAATACCGTGCTCGAAAGAATATATTCTATTACAACAGTTTATTGTACATTTATTACAGTAATGTGTATCATCTGTAGCATAAAACAGCACTGCAATACTGCATAGAGACTGTGTGTAGCCCGAACTCAATATGCACACACCTGTGATGGCCCAGCAGTTTGCAACTAGGGTACTACAACTGTGTTAAAACATTATTACCTAGATTTACATGGCAATACATTGTTTTCAAACCCACAGTTTCATGCAACTAATTTTTTTTTGTATTAAATGTGATTACTACACTTTAGACATGCCTGGTATTAGCTATGACCTTTTGAAGCTATTGTTAAGATGTTTTTTGCAAAGCTCCTCAGTGAGATTGACATCCAATATTCACTCTTGTATCCGTGTAGGTCCATACGTAGAGTCGTGTGCGTTTCCACACCGACATTTGAGGAAAATACATTTGGGAATTAACTATGATATTTGTTTCAATTCCTTCTAATAAACAATGTTTCTTGGACTTAAAAAAACAAGTTTTGTAATGCGATAAACAATTAGGATTATTAAAATGTGCGGTCTAACTTGGACATGTTTATTATATTTTCGAGTTGTTGCTGCGTACTTTGTGTTTTGTGGTTTAAAAAAGAGATGATGATGTGGCTTGGAAGCTAATAAAGCAAATACTTGCTCCACGCATTAACTTATCAACCTTAATAAAATATAATTGTCAGAATGCATAATTCCTTTGAAACACATTGAGACATTCCTATTGGCTGAATTGTTAGTGTGGGTTTCTTTTTTGCTCTTGAAGAATTATTTCTAAAATAAACGTATAAACTGAACATTTCTGTTTCAATACAAAATATACAATTCCGGTGATAACAATGCACTTTGACCTCATAACCCACAGGGACAGAAGGGGGAGCCTGGGGACGTACCACAGGTGGGCAGCTTTCTGTTGTCACATTTAACTCGCTGATCGTTGTCCTGTACCATGCTTTTGCTGTAAACACTACACAACAGTCTCACAATAATATCTGCTTTCAGAATAATAATAATAAAAAGATCGTTAAGTGAGTCATGTGCCCACATTATTTTATTTCATCTGCTTCAATTTATATGGGTTCTGACTTTTACTGTGCAGTAATATCAAAGCGACATAAAAACTGAATTACAAATAATTTCTTAAAATATTTGTGCATTTGCAATCTGGCACAGCAAGGCACTGAAACAATTATATATGATTGCGGTTACGTGTGAGAAAGCCCAGTTGTCACGTAAACATTAACGAACAACTCTTTTCTCTCGGTTTCTAGACCAATGGCATCAGGGGTCCACCCGGAGCCCAGGTGAGGCAACGCACTTCTGCATTGGTGCGCCGCACACATTTGATATTGTCACAATAGGTGTTCACGCAGAGCGTGGCCGATTTAAACCTTTGCTGTGCCCCCCCCCCACCCCATGTCTAGGGTCCACCTGGCGAGCAGGGATCCAGGGGTGATCGTGGAGACAAGGGAGAGAAGGTATGCTCTACACTGGCACTTATTCTCATCCCACGACATTCTGCATATCCTGCAGTTTAACCATTACGCTACACCCCGCACCTCCGATTAGCACGCTTGGCTACGTAGGGTGCTAAAGAAGTTTAAAATACATACATGGAATCTGTCCACTGCCACTCATTACATTCATGGGTCATGGTAGGTTGTTTGCCACTATGTGTTACTGAAAAAAAATGTACCACAATTGTTGTTGTACAGTGCATAGGATTTTGGTCATGGTGTAACATATGACAGCATGTCACCTTGTACAAATATCGATGATTGCACGGTGTAAAATCAACATTAACGTCAGTCACTCCTTTTATAAAATGTGAGCAAATGGCTGGCCATTACAGTACTGCACACGTGGTGCAGACCTGTATTTGAGGTGCTAAGGCCTGGTAGTGTTATGCCATTGCTACTCCTCATGAAGATGTGTGTCTGCTCGTCTCTTTATAATCACGCTTGTTCACAAACATTCTATTCATTCTTTTCTGACCACTTTAGGTTTCATCTTACATTGTTCATGTAGAAAAGGCACACTTTTGAAAGTCTTCTCTGTTCACAATATGACATCTACAATTGATGTCATTCCCTTACTTTCTTTTCAAGAGCAGAGGTGCCTTTGAATTCACGTAACTTAATTGGAGAAACCTAGCGTATCAGTTGTAACAATTTGAACATCAAAGTACTTAATCGAGCTTGACTGACTCACAGTTACAGGCGGCACTTTACACTGCGGTGGCCTGGGAAGACTGGAATATTTTGACGAGTGAACAGCTCCCAGTTTGAAGCCGCTGAACAAGTCGTTATTTCATAAATGTCAGCTTTGGTCATAGTTTGTACCATTTTCATGCCATCCCACAGCAAATACACTTTCCAACCATAGTTTTTTCAGTCAATCTCTCTGCACTCAACTCCAAAGAAAGGCCATTGCCTGACATATCCGCCTGCTGCCACGTGGTAATGGTCAGCATGCTGGACTTGCAATCCAGAGGTCCGTCGGTTCCATCTCCCAGCTGCATCAGTGGCTATTGCACAGTTTCTAAAGCTGCAGGCTGTGTGTGTGGCGGGGTCAAGTATGGGGTACTCCTACCTCTTTCAAGACATCCAGCCAGGGTGGAAGAGTAGGGCATATACCCGATACGGTGGTTTTAAAGAAACTCTGGCTGGTACACCACTAGCAATGTAGTTTTGTTTGTTTAGAATGTATTACAAGGAGAGTTTGTATCGCAAAGTAGCTACTGTAGTTGATTATATTCATCTAGCTTTGGGCCATTGCGATTTGAACGCTTCACTCAAAACCTGAGAGTTCAGAGTTTAAATTCCACTGGAGGATGATCTCAGCCTCTCAATATTCTGGGGTTGGTAATATTAGGCAACACTCTGCAGTAAACAGTTCTCCTATGGGGAAACTGGCCCCTGTCATGAGAAAATGGAATTTCCATCACGAGCTAAAGGCCACCATTGGTGATGAACACCTTTGTCTTTTAGTTGATGATACCACAGTTAAATCATAAATGTATTACAACCACAGTTTACCAAAACAATTTACACATTGCATTCGTGTTGCATAACAGTACTGCTATGCTCAAATCACTGCAGTAATTCATTCTGGTCCACTTTATTTACATGAACACTTTATCGCGACATCAATATGGTGATTACACTTGGTCTATACAGGGGCTTAATTTCTCCCTGAATATTTTGCTGCTCGCTGATAGACACGTGGACTAGTAGCTACATCAGAGGCATACAAGATGTGGTGTTTTGGGTGCGGATATATTCTCCGGGTCGTTAACCAAGGCAGACCCAGCTAAAATTAATTCCCTGGGTCTATATTAACGCACACTCACTCACTGTACAGCGGCTATATTCAACAACAGCAGAGGCCTAAATAGACTTGTCCACCCCTCCCAACCAAGAATGGAGGCCCTGTTTCCTTCTCCACTCAGTCAAATGCCCTACCTCAGCAGCCAGCCTTAAATACAGTACCTCATGGACTTATAACCCACCTCCCTAATGATTACCTACCTACCACCCACCCAATCAGACATTCATGACCCATGACAAGTCAATCCATTACAATAACACATTTCATATCCAGTACTGTAATAACACTGCAATAAAGTGCTGTTTCTTTCCAGTACTATAGAGTACATCATTTTTGGAGTGCAATATACTATATGATTAGGCCATATAAAACATTTTCATGTTTGAAGTCTGCAAAGCCACTATAACAATTATTGACATATTTTAAAAGTTAATGTTGAGATAGCTGCCATTGTTTTTACATCCAAATATATCTTCCCTCCAATACATTAATCCCACACAGCAATGAGTTGTTGTTGTTGTTGTTTTCGCAAAGGAGATATGACATCCTCTGCTATTGCCTTTTACTTATGAACATTTCAGTAACACAGTATTCCTCGTCTTTTTGCGTCCAACTGACCCCATCCCTTGACCTTAGGGCATCTTGCATTCCATGTTGTAGTGAGCGCTGAAACAGCTGTGCATATTGCCTGTGCTAATACAATCTTAACTGAAAAAAACACATTCAGGTATTTTTTTCAAAATCCAGCAAGGAACCTGGGCTATACACTTAGTCCTGTACTATATTTAATTGTTACTCTTAGATATTCAAGTTTCTATTTTTACACATAATCTAGTCGTAAGCTTGGGCTCTCAATACAGATTCCTGTGTTATTGTTTTCTGTATATAGCTGTGACCATTTAGCCATGAGGTGACCCTTCCTGAAATTTAAAATGGTCAAATATACTTTAATCCTGCTGCTAATTTACATTTTCTTCATGAAATGTTTACTCACATCTAAACCGATTCTCATCAAGGTTTAAGTCAATAAATGGAGTGACTGTTACGTCAGTCTGCTGACTTTCTTGGACAAAGCCATGTTCTATTTAGCTGTGTAATATAAAGGCCTAGATACATGATACTATGCTCTTTTGTCACAATCAACTGGGAAATTGGATTACGCAGTATTGCACCCCACGAATCCCAAGCAATCATATTGAGGCACTATGCCACAGCGTGCAATGCATTCGAGTACAATTCTGCCACAAAGGATGGTGTGAGTCAGGAACATTAGAAACATACACACATATACAAACAATGATACTCAAAGACACACATTCACACACAAGCACACCTTCCATACATATACACACACATATGCACTCAACAAACATGAACACATTCAGATACGTTCAATCTCACACGTGCATATACATATAAAGATGCATACACATGTGCACACACACAAATACTCATTATCTATGTGGCCACATGATTAAAACGCATTGACTGATTGGATGAATGCAGTCTTGTCTGATTGCAAATATTATAACACGGATGAAACATCATGTAACAACATCACAACTGATTGCGTGGTGCAATAATCACGAGATGGTGTGTCAACGGTGATGCAATCATGAGCCCTCAATAGCATCACATCCCGTGAGTTGCACTGATATCGCACGGTGTATCTAGGCTTTTCAGTGTGTCAGTGGGATTTAAATGAGTTAAGTATAGGAGTTGTCCTTACATTGTGGTGCACGAGGTGCAAATAAACAATGTAATGTATAGTTATTATCGTTATATTGGAAGGTTCAGTCAATGTATCGCCTCGTATAAATTGCTTATTGTTTTTTTCAAAACCGAGAAACATGTACAGGAATTTGAAAACACCGTTGGAATAAAATGGCACTTTACTGAAATATTCTCATGTAGCATCCACTTCAGCAATACCAAATATAATAATGGACCGTTTAATGAAGCAGGTGCATTGGCTTGCTGCGTTTGTCTCTCGTTGCTTGCTCATATCATCATCACGTGACCGGCTGTTGCTGATCCCTTGTTTGACAGGGAGGGCAAGGTCCCTCGTGGCAGGGATGGCGAGCCTGGCACTCCTGGAAACCCTGGCATGGCCGGACCCCCAGGCCCTCCTGGGCCCCCTGGCCTTGGTGGAGTAAGTATCAGACATTTTCCCTTTGATCCATTCCTACAACTCCACGAATTAGTCACTCTTCCTGCCACCTGAGATTGTTGCCATGTCTGTCTGAGTTGAACGAGCAGTGAACTTCAATGGAACATTTTCATTATATCAGAGCGGGGGGAAGGGGGGGGGGTTAAATATGTATAATGAACCGATTACGCTGATTTATTTAGACTTTAAAACTAAAGGGTAAATCATTTGTAAAAATATGCAGTATATACAGTAATAGAATTATTCTCTTTTCTCTAGAATAACTTTTTGTGGTTAGTTTGTTGTCCTTCCCCTGCACCTCCAATTAGCACATTTGGCTACGTACGGTGCAAAATAAGTTCAACGTACATACATATACGTACAGAGGTGTTTATGTGTGACCACAATTTGTAATTTTGTTTAACTGCCGCCCAACAGAACTTTGCTGCCCAAATGGCCGGAGGCTTTGATGAGAAGTCTGGAGGTGGTGCTCAAATGGGAGCTCTTCAAGGACCAATGGTACGGGAGCATTCGTCATATGAAATAAGAGACATTGTTATATCCAAAGCAATTACTCTGACCAAGTTTACAAAAAACACATTCTACATATGCCCAACATATCCTTTTTCTCTATTGTACTTTAACTTTCAGGCTGTGAAGACAGTTGTGTGTTAATGAATAACACAATATAATTGGTTCTGTTCATGTTATTTTGTTCTTGTAGGGACCTATGGGACCAAGGGGACCTCCAGGGCCTTCAGGCTCACCTGTAAGTTTCAATATTGCACCCTTCAGCCCATAAACTTGCCATCGATATACGTATTTCCCGTCAATTTGTTCTGACATGCCACTAAGTGTCATTGTGTGCTTTCTTCAGGGCCCACAAGGATTCCAGGGCTCCCCTGGAGAGCCCGGCGAGCCTGGACCTTCTGTAAGTATTTCTGCGCCGTTCCCTTGAAGCCTCAAGTGAATTCAATCATTTTTAAACCCTGTGTTCATGAATAAAGACTTATCCAGTTTTATACATTTCTGTAAATACAACCAATTGCATTGTTTTGTTCACAAAGAACGAAATGAAGACATACCATATATATTGTATTTATGTGTTTGCAAGTAGCTAGCACTGAAATTAATGTTTGAATAACAGATGCAGAATACTGACTCTAAGCTTTGTTTGCCATGTCTTTTTAGGGAGGGCTTGGCCCACGAGGACCCCCAGGCCCAGCTGGAAAGCCCGGCGATGATGTCAGTAAAAAGCTCTTTCTGCTCGGTTGAATGCACTTTTTTACATGAAGGCAACACGTTTACAAGAAACACATTTCACGGGGACAATATCTTAAAGTTATGACACTGTGCGTCTTCACTTCCAGGGCGAGGCTGGCAAGTCAGGAAAACCAGGTGAACGTGGTCCCGCAGGACCGCAGGTGAGGATCAACGATGCCGCCTCTTCGCTTCACTAACATCTTTAGAAATGTTCTGCAATGTTATTTTACGTTGTATGCCCACACATACATGCACATAACCACGTAAGGTAACGTAATGCACGCTTCATATAATTAAGCGTGAAGCGTGTTTAAGGGATGCGCTATCTTTTAATAGATCTTGTTTCAAAGTGTCAAAAAAACCAGAGTTCTCAACTGCATGTTCACATGTTCTCATTTTATTACTTTAGGGTGCTCGTGGTTTCCCAGGAACCCCTGGCCTTCCAGGCATTAAGGGACACCGGGTGAGTGTTTTTAAAATTGTATCCTTTATCAGAAATATATATTTTTGCTGGCACTGTACATACGTACGTAAGACGAAAGTTACGTTATTACATTGCATGTTTTAACGCAGTCACTTTTCATTGCAGGGTTACCCTGGCCTAGATGGTTCTAAGGGTGACGCTGGGGCTGCTGGTGCCAAGGTATGTAATTGAAACCTCGAAGATTGAATAAAATATAAAAAAAAACTAAAATGTGTTTTATACAATAACATTGCATTTGCACTTCACTGACACAACGTGTATGCGCCTGATTGCAGGGTGAATCTGGTGCTTCCGGTGAGAACGGAGCCCCTGGGCCCTTGGTATGTACCCGTACTCTCCGTATATTTATTTCCCCATACCACCAAGTAATTACGTATAATCGACTTGAATGCATCATCGCACCCACATGTGTGGCTCGCTAAAAAGTGGCCAACTCTTGCTTGCGTTTTTTGTTGTTGCGTCTGCTAGGGTCCACGTGGCCTGCCTGGTGAGAGAGGTCGTCCTGGTGCCTCTGGTCCTGCTGTGAGTAAAACCCCCTCCACTTGCTGACCTCCAAACAATGCACCACACGCCACCAGCACCGTCCTCCAGAGGCGTGTGGGTCGTGTGCACTGACCTCTGTGTGTGATCCCTCACAGGGAGCACGTGGCTCCGATGGCCTCCCTGGTCCTGCTGGCCCTCCCGTGAGTACAATGTTCATTTCACATTTATAGAACACGTTTAACACGTAGCAGGCTTTCGCGACCAATAGTATTCATAATAAACGGTTTTTAGGGTTAGAATCGCGTTGTTTATAAATGTGTCGTAACCCTCCACCAGATGCTTTATTGGACAGACGGGACGTAACATCGGCGTAAGACTGAAAGAACACCAAAGAAATATTCAATTATCTCAAACACAACTGTTGGCAGTGGCCAGATCAGTGCTTGCCAACAAGGACACTCAATTGATTTTGATAACGTTGAAGTGTTGTGTAAAACCAATTATTGCCGGCAAAGACTAATTAGAGATTCCATTGAAATTGAGAGAAATAGAAATAACTTCAATCGCTCTGACAGCTACAGGCTTATTGCGGCCTGGAAGCGTATTATTAAATAATGCATATTACAATTCCTTATAGGGGAAACACATACTAATTAACTGATTACTAACGTAGTATATAATTACAATAGCACACATTACAATGAATTACTAATCTACAACTTATTACTAATCATAATAATTAACTGATTACTAATCTATTATTTAATTACAATACCCCCCCTCCACCTCAAATCACTGCACCTGAATTAGTTAAATGATGACGCTGCTCTATTTAAGACCGAGAGCAAGTGAGGGCTTCACCATTCTGGCAAATTGCCCGATGATGCTGGATGTAATTACCAGCGAAACGTCGTACTAGAAAATTGTAAATGTTGTGGATTCACTCTTGGGCTAAAGTAGTGAACTATTTGTCTTTTGTCAACGTGACATTTTGTTGCTGATTGGCCGTGTCGGGTGGTGGAGGGTTACGACGCATTTATAAATAACGCAATCTAACCCAAAAAAATGTATTATCAATTCATATAACACCTTTTTCGCTTACATATCCCCTTGCTTTGAAGTAAAACAAAAAAAGTGTATTTAACGTGAGTGCATTTGGTGATGTAACCTAAGTATAAAAAAATATATGTGAAGCCTCTTTCAGGTGAATTTATAATTGTTGCGTTTTAATAAAAAAAAGTTTGTTAAAACATCGACATGCAATTGACTCTTACGGTAAAAAAATTGCACTTTGTGAAGATGTTAAATATCGCTGAAATTGCGAATGCATGCTTGCATGAGGACATATTCCAGCTCACCTTTTCATGTTGATTCATCGTTTATTAGTTCTTCACACGAAGGCACTGTGGCGATGTGATACTGTAAAGGATGTGTTCAGATTTTTATTTTCTCTACGAGGAAAGTTAAATGAAAATTGACTCTTTGTTTCAAATCATGTTGATCCAAATATGTATCATTTTTTTGGTATAAATGACCCGCACAACAAACCACGAACGATATGCATACATGGAAATTCAGCACAATTAGGAAAAGGGCAGATGTAATGCAACACGCCCCAAAGTTAGGTTGTAACATAAAAAAGCATGGCTGACGTACATGGAAGCTGTGTAATTTAAACTTGCTGTGCATGTCGAGGACTGACCTGCATGACAAAGGTTGGGAGAGGCGGGGTGGTACGGGGTGGGAGGCAGGCTTACCATAAAATGTGCGGTTTTTTTTGTTCATGCTGAGTGCACACACTCTCTCTCTCTCCTGCAGGGCCCCACTGGTCCATCTGGCTCCCCTGGTTTTCCTGGAGCCCCAGGTGCTAAGGTGAGCTAAATTCCTTGCGAGTATCTCGTGCGCTCCTGCGAAACAGCCAGGAGGTTTGTCTGTCTGCCTGTCTGTCTGTCTGTTCACTTTAGCCTTGGGGTACGTTATGATGAAATTGTCACATGTACACATGAATAAACTCCCCCCCCCCCCCCCGTAACAAACACGTACACAGTGCACATGATCCTACGTCTGCTGGAGACAATCAGTCTGTCTACATCTCAGAACACTGCAGTCGGTGCTGTCAATCAATGGAAAACATGTCCCTTTAAATAAAGAAACAGGAAAAAGGTCAACATCTGTTATTGATGCTTCAGAAAGAAGAAGAAGAAAATAAAACTGTAGCCGCACAATGTTTCTCTCTCGCACGTTTGTGACTAATTATATATATGCACTAGTATTACTCGAGCTAATTTTCCCATAACAGTGCGATCCAATTGACCGATAATGATTTCATTAAATATAATCTCTCCAGGCAGTCTCCCTCTTAAACCTATCGCAAAATATACGTACAAATCTAGTACATGTGGTGATGTGATCATGTGAAAAGCTGTACATAATTTACTGTAGATTGCTTGAATATTTATACAGTGTGTAAAATACAGACATTTGTTATGTAGCCTTGATTGATGCGTTTTTTAAAGCTTGTTCCATGATCTAAAGTAGTAAACCGTAATAGGGTAATTACATATTACACAAAGGCCCAACATTCCGAATACTGTAGTTTTCATTAAAAAAGAAAAATATCTACTCTGCGACAGTGATTTATGCCAGCCATAGGATCCCTTTCGGTCGACAGATGAACGTGGGGTGGAAAAGTGCAAAGCTTCCACGCCCACCTCAATCAATGCATCGAGCTGTCTCGCCAGCACCTGTGCCCGAAGCTACGACCACGTGGAAAACATTCGCAGACAAAGCTTTATGTTCTTTCACTTCACAAAGGGAGTCAATTGTGCTTGGGTGGATCGTGCAGTAGAGAAGCAGAGAGAATGCATGCACCAGGCAAGGAATGCACCCTTTTTCAAGGAGGCCTCTAACTAAGTGATGGGGTGGGGGGGGGCAGCACAATGCAGACAGCAGACATTTTTGGCAAAGCCTGGCATCGTCGACTTCACTCTGTCGTGCTACAGAAGGAATTTGCTACAAAGTTATGCAAGCCAAAGCGAAACAAAATAGTCGTTACAAAATTACACTCGACTCGGTTTTGTTCAAAGATAAAAACAAGGTGAGTGCAATCGACAGACATTAGGACTACGTCTAGTGGCTTGCCATGGGGACCTGGCTTTGAGCTTCATCATTGTCAAGTGAGTAGAGAGGGATGGAGACAGAATCAGAATATTTATGCTGGAGGAATCCGATGAGCTATAAAGCTCTTTTTCACAGATGTCCAGACTGGAGACAATGTAACATATCTTTCCGTAATTATAATTAAATCATTAATTCATTATCATAGCATGGAACAGGCCTAGATGGCATACTGGAACAGGATGGGTTGGGTTTGTTTGAATGCTGAGGGTTGTTTTCCTCCTACATGTGAAAATGTACTGGGCAGTTGGATGCCTATGGCATGGGAAATCATCTGAACAGAGCCAAACAAATAGAAATACATCATTTGGGTGGTAATGCATTTACGATAGTCATGTAAAAAGTGTACTCCTAAACTGACTACATTCATCCAGCATAAATAAAAGCATATAATTTAGTTGCAAGGCAGAGAGCCAGTGAAGGATATTACGTTTGCCTCTGAGAAGTAAAACGTAAGTGTTAGTGGCATTAGATACCGTTTACTGTGTACTTTTAGTCCGTAAAAGTACATTGACCATATACTCCGGATTATTCGGTGCTCTGAAAAGTAAGAAGCACCCCAACAAAGTTAAAACAAATCTAGTCACACACACAGATCTTGCAGATCATAAAATGCACCCCCAACTTTTGCAGTGGGAAAAAAAGTGCATCTTATAATCAATGCTCTATGATACTTCCTGTTGGCAATACGAATACCTCCCGGTGTATGCGTCACATAGCACGGAAGCTGCAGGAGTCCGAGATAAAGAACAGACAGTGTCACTTTGGTGCTGTCAATCGGGGTGCAATATTCAACTGCAGATTTCTTTCCCCATCGTTTCTTGGCAATGCCATGACTTCTTTACCCCCTTCACTTCCAATGATGGCTTCCAACACAGCACTCAGTAATTGCGTAACTTTGTTTAAGTTGCATCCAATCAGATTACGTTAATTAACCGAGCTTGAGGTGATGAGTTGCGTGATGTGTTTCCACGACTGAAATTCTTTCTTTGGTTCACTGTAAATAGTTAAATGAAAATGTGTGGCAACACTGATACCAATAGGCAATTCTCAACAGTGTTCCTTTACTTCAGATGAAGTGTATATTATTGGGACATTACATCTTCTACTTTGCTGCCATTTCGTACACTAGTCTTACAAAGGTTGATGCAAATGTTCTTTTATGGAATAACCTTCTCCAAAATAATGTAGTTGTCATGATTGCATACATTTCGCTGGTGCTCGACAAGCCTTGAGGGCACTGACCATAACATGCCAAAGTGTAACTGGACTGCGCCACTAGCAGTTTTGCAAAATATGCGACCCATTTAGAGTTTGTGTTACGTTGAAATTGTACTCATCGCAAGGTTCCCCAACTGAACATTAACCATAACGAGGTTCCCAGACCTCGCAATACCTTGGATGCGATAGTCGATTATTTGCATTTCAGGTTTCAGAGTGAGTGCTGCCAGAGATACACGAGCTACAGTTTGTTCATATATTTAAGTGACACGAAATACATTTTTGCTATGACATTTACAATTTCTATCAAGCATTACGACTAAACAATGAACACAAAGTCGCAACATTTTATCGCCAAAGACATACACATTATCCTAAAGTAAATTTAGTAGACTGCAGTGTTGGTGTCGGAGAGGTACGTGATAGATCACCATGGCAACACTACATCATAACGTTAGGGACCAAATGGATTCCCACAGCGAGACTGGCTAAAAAGAGGAATGTGGTGAATCATCATGGCAACCCTGCATCGTCATGTTACAAAGTTTCAAGTTGAATCACCATGGCAATGCTGCAGCATATTAGAGGACATGATGAATCACCATAGCAACACTGTATCATGATGTTAGAGAGGGACATAATGTGTCCCAGTAGCAACACTCCACCATAATGTTAAACAGCGTTGTGATGGATCACCATAGCAACTCTGTATGATGGTGTTGGACACATACGTGATGAGTTACCATGGCATTGCTGCATCACGAGGAACGACTCTGAATCGTTCCCGATCTCCAATAATCACCACTAACATCTCTGAATAGATTTCTCAGGCCATTAATTGCCCGTTTCCAAAAACAATTTTTTTCACATTTTCATCATTTAATTGGAAGAGCAATGGAAATAACATTGAGCTGGAAACACTTGAAATATGTTAAATGTATTCAATTGTCACAATCCATATACACCTTCCTTTATCCCTGGAAACACATGTAAGTAAAGCTGTCTGGAGTTACACAAGTTGTGGTGCCCAAACCATTATGTCTGGCACGACTGTGCTAATGTGTTAATGTCATGTCTGGCATATCAACTCCATAAAGCCCTTTGCGGGTATTTGCTCTCTCCACCTAATCTCAACGTCGTTAATCGTCCATGCACTCCAATTGTTTTATCAATAATATTCCGTTAACCACTGTGAACACGTTGACAGTGTTTTAAGTGAAAATCATTTAGACAAGTCGTGGCCAGGATAATGCATGTGTTACGCTGGCTGCCGTCAGAACGTGGATGTTGAGCATTAAATGCAAGTCCAGTGCCTGTGAGGAAAAATTTGCATCGTGCACATCAGCACCTTTCAACCCACTCAGAATAGCATTACACCTGCAGCACAATAATTTTTTATTATTTCCGACAACTCAACTTACAGGCAGTAACAGGCTATAACAGAGAAGATGGATGTTCTAATAAAAGCTTATCTGGGCTGGATGCCCACGGAAAGCACTGTGTTTTACATTACAACGTTCAGGTGATTATTGGAGCGTAGGGGAAGCTCAGCGAACGATATAAAGAGAGTGTTTATGTCTAACATCTGTCAGGGTTTATGTTCTGCAGTGGCATGTGCAACACATGTAGGGCTCACCTTCACAATACTACTATTATTATTGCAGGGCTCACCTGTATATTATTAATCAATATAACGGCTCATCTTCATATTATTTCATGCTGACTTTACGTTATAATTCACAGGGTTTACCTTCAATGTAATCCAATATTACTATTGATCTGCATGTAACCTGGCTAAAACCATTGAGAATAATTAATTGTTACAGAACTCATCTTTACTTGAGCTTGATTATAATTACTAGTCTCTACCTTTATTATGTCAAGGGTGATCTTTACAATGTTTTATGTTGTTGTCGATGTTATAGCACTGTTTCTAAAACTTTAGAAATTTAAATGGGAATATTTTTAGTTTCATGCCATGAGATCAATAATTTCTTTGAAAATGCCACCGGTAGTCTAAGAGCCACAGCGAAATCTGGCGGCACTGGGGATGATAAACATTTAGCGAGATAAAACGTATTTATTACGACATACTTCTTAGCTAAGGTCACTTCATAATTTACTTTGATTGGCGATTTAAAGTTGTTGTTGTTGTCATCTCAGGTGGTACCAACAAGTGACATTTTTGGTCCTGGCCCATGGACTAAGAGCAGTGTGCCACCGCATCTGCTCTGAAAAATACTTTAAATGACAGTTTTTAGTGTCGATTTAAAGCTTTCGTGACTGCAGGATTCATCTTCTTGGTTCTCTCGGTAAAGTCACGTAGGAGGGACGTAATAAAATAATAAAAATAAAAATAAAACATAATATTACTTCCCTCCTACGTGACTTTACCGAAAGAACCAAGAAGATGAGTTTTTAGTGTGTTCACAGAAGCGGTGATGCACTTTCCCAGCTCTGGAAAGAGCTTGGAGTATGACAGTCAAACACAATATTTTTACTTACCAGAGTTAAGAGGTAGCCAAAGCAACTGCAAAACTAAATGTAGTGTTTTTTTTGCGCAGTCATTAGTGGACCAGGTTGAGGCCATCAATTTCATTCTAGACTTGAGAACTCAGTTTTGTCATGGGTGGCTGCCCATAATCAAACTGGGTTTCATGCTATATACTAGTACTTCAACATACATACGTACATTTATACGAAGGCAAAACAACATATGTAATAGGAGTGATATTTAAAGCACAGTGGTGAAATACACCAAAATCACTTTGTTTCAACACAATTACCCAAACTAGTGCATTTCACGACCGTGCAAATATGGCATTTCTTGGGAAAAGTATCCATGACCTATGTTTGAAACTTCGTGCGATAAAACTGTGTTATTTCATGTTTTTCAAGTGTAATTTAACATCTGTTGATGCTCTTAAAATTGATTTGCCAGTGTCCTTTTGTATCGACAATTTTCCGTGCACGATACAGATATTTACATCAATGGCATGTGTTTCATATCTTTTCATGAAAAGCAATAATTCCTACACATTGTATTCTTTCATCCAGGATTTTATGACTCACACATTATGTAGATTCTATTATACAGGTAACAATGCGTCAATCTGATCATTACAACCTACGCTTACCTTCACAATACATGCATAAAATCGTGCAAGAACTGATTCTGGGGCCACTAGAGGCGCTACATTAACCACAATGTTTAAAACAAGAATCCTTGCATCGAATCCTGAACGGAATCATGACCATTATATTGCAATCGGGTAACTCATTTACATGCTTCATTACTGTATTGTGGGAACATTCACTGGTAAATCGTACTTTCACTGTTTCAAGAGCGTGGAAATACTGAGATAAATTATCAATACTCCACATTATCCCTCTTGCATGATAGGTTCCCGAATTGTATTGATAGGTTTGTACATTTGCCATGCTTTCAACTTCACATTTCAAATAATACAGCTTTAAACACATCTCACGATGTCAATATTAGCAACACAAACGCTGCAGCTTGTACAAGCAACAACATACAAAAAGACACGTGCTTTATCTCTGGGCCACACCTCAGTTCAAAATACAAATCCTCATTTGTGTTGACAGCTGGCGGGCAGTGCCAGGACTGCTGCTGTCTGTGTGTGGGTGGGTGGTGGTGACGCAAATCTCTTCTTGTCTGTCCCTGGCAGGGTGAAGCTGGTCCTACCGGAGCACGTGGGCCAGAAGGTGCCCAGGGCTCTCGCGGAGAGCCCGGTGCTGCTGGGGCTTCTGGGCCGTCCGGCTCCCCCGTGAGTTTCTTCGCGTGATCGCAGGCGGCTCCCACCCGCACGCGATTTTTTTGCGTTCAGTGGCCTCGAGTCATTGCCAGACAGACCCGGGCACTTTACACAGTTGCAATTTCTCGTGCAAACAGTAACTTACAATAATTTTTACACTATTATAACTTTTTTGACATTCATGAACGATATATTTTTTTGCGTATACAATAAAGAACATCAGAACACCGTGTACTACGAATTTCCATTTTTTTTGCAGCCATTGTTGATGGCCGCTGCAGAGGACATATCTCACCCACTGCTGTGCTTGTGTCATTGTGATGTTTGTTTGACAGGGTAACCCTGGCACTGATGGACTTCCTGGAGCCAAAGGATCATCTGTAAGTATTATGCTCCTTTGCTTGTTGTTTGTTGACATATATGGAATGCTATAATTATTGTGGGGGGGTGGGGGGAGCTTCCGAAATAACTATTCTACTATGTAACTCAGATGTTATATAAAGTTACATGTCAGTTTATACGACACATAGTTTAATTCAGCGCCTGTTGTGTGTGTATTTTTGTGTTTGTGCATGTATTGTGTGTTGTGGCATGTGTGCATATGTTGTGGTACGTGCATGTATTGTGATGCGCGTGCTGTAGTGTGTGTACACATAGGTGCTCGCTAACAGCACTTGCCCCTACAGTCTGTGAAGGCTATACGGGGGATCTTGTACACATTTGATGGTTGTGATGCATTTGTGTTACGAATAACACCTGGGCGTAGCCGGTGACCTCCAGCTCAAAACCCTCTGCCACTCAATGTAACCTCAAAGGTCAACTAGTCTGGCTAAGGTGCCATGGCAGTGGCGTGACCACCATACCTAGTGGCAGACGATATGAGTTGTTGTCTCTGTATGTGCCTGTGTGTAATTCCTGCTTTTGTCGTGGCTGCCTCCTTCCTGTGCAGGGTTCGCCAGGTATTGCTGGTGCCCCCGGATTCCCAGGCCCCCGTGGAGCTCCAGGGCCCCAGGGTGCGACTGGCCCTCTTGGCCCCAAGGGACAGCAGGTCAGTCCCCCCAATACGAGCAGCGGAGATTTACTAGCAGCTCATCTGTTGGACATGACCACAGCGCTGCTGTTAATCACTTATAAAATATTTGTACTGACAATAAAATATTGAAATTGCATTTGATGTTGCTATAATATAAGTGTATTTTCTTTCCAGGGTGACCCAGGTGTTCATGGATTCAAGGGAGAGCCTGGCCCCAAGGGCGAGCCTGTGAGCATCACACCTCTTGTTTGAAAACAAATGCGGAACTTTGCTCACACACTCCGTCATGCCGCACAATTCCCTGCTGACGTTGTTGCTGCTGTACTTTATGCTCGTGTGTAGGGATGTAAGTAGAGGCGGGTAGGTGCGTGGGTGGGTGGTGGTGGGTAGAGTGGGTAGCTGTGTGCTTGTAGCAAAGCGAGTGATCTATCTGTGCTTTGCCACTAGGGCCCTGCCGGTCTTCAAGGTCCACCCGGCCCAGCTGGAGAGGAAGGCAAGCGCGGTGCTCGTGGAGAACCCGGAGCAGCTGGCCCCGGTGGCCCACCTGGCGAGAGAGTGAGCTCCCCCTGTCTCCCTGCCGATGCACAAGCGCCCTTCGATTCATCTGGAACATCACGCGATAATTTTTTTTAATACATCACGAAATGATACACCTGGGAGAGATTTGTCCAACTGTGAGGGCTATATTCAAAGTTCGTTCTTATTTCACCTCTCAAATCACTCCTACATTTCCACGCAAGGACTCACTTTCAGTAACCTTTGTACTATGGTGTCTCGAAAGGCTGCATCCTCGGCCCTCTGCTGTATTCAATACATCTCCCTCCCACTTGGTAAAATCATGTCCAGTTTTCATATCGACCATCACTTCTCTGAAAATGACATTTCTCCGTTGACTCCATGAACCCAAAATCACTCTTAATACTCAAATCCACTCTTGATGCGGTCCCATATTGGATTGGTTCTAACTTCCTCCAGGTAAAGGTTGCCAAATCTGAAGAACTCCTTATCAGTAGAAAGTCACATTAAGACTCCAGTTTGAGCATGTATCTCAAACTTTAACATTACACTCAAAAAAGAGTGTGCAAAACCTTTGGCGTTGTCACTGGTCCCAAAGTCTCTATGTACATGAGTCAACTCTTAAGGATTTTATACCTCCATCTTACCAACATCACATCGCAACTCAATGCATCGCAACTCAGCGTTTGCAACTCTATGCGCCACCCCCAAAATACACTATATCCAAGCTCCAGATGATCCAAATGCCCCTGCCATGCTCCTGTCCTGCACCTGTGAATATGACCACATCACCCCAATATTTCAATTCTTACACAAGTTCCAAATTCAACTCTGGATACATTTCAAGATTGCACTTATTGTCTTCCAAGATCCTGCACAGTCCCATCCCTGCCTAACTCTTCCTCCCCTCTCATTTCACTGTACCCCCCTGCACACAACCAAGGCCTTCTATCAACCCCTAGTCGATCTATAATCTTTAACTCCTTCCCGCAGTCATCTGTGGTGTCGACACCCTGGTCCCGTTCATGTCCAGGCTCAATCCCTTGTTTTTTTCCTCTGCCTATACATAATTGTCTTTCTCTCCATAAAACATACGTGCCCACTGTTCTGTACTGCATTTTGAGATAAAGGTACATTTATTTATTTGCTGAATACATCGAAATTGTATTTTATCATAGATTTTAAATATACACGAAAAAACCCACCATGTATCATTACGTCCAAGCCATGCTGGGTTGTCTTTGTAATGGTGTACACAGGAAAAACTGTGATGTGTTGTTGCTCAAGCGGCGTTCTTCCTGTTCACAGGGCGGCCCTGGAAACCGTGGTTTCCCAGGACAGGATGGCCTTCCCGGTCCCAAGGTGAGCTCGCTTGGGTATTTTTGTGTAATCGCTGCCTTGGAAAGTTGTCCTCAAGCATCAATAAAAAAAAGCTCACAACCGCCCTAAACGATAACACTGCCCTAATAGGGGAAAATATGTATAGCAGGAGATGTGTTAGGTAATGGCCCTTCTTCATAGTATGGCCTTTCTTGGCATAATGGCACGTGACCAATACACCTCAACACAAGCATTGCACTTTGAGTCGAACGTTTAGCTAAATAAGATGTGCAGCATACCATAAAACAATAATGTGGAGGCTGCATGGACAGGAACATTGAACTAATTATGTATGTGTACTCATGCAAAACCGTCTTTGAAATTAAAATAACACAGTGGACTCCGTTGGCAGTGGTGTACTCGCACAAATCACAATCTCTCTCATTAGCAATGACTTAGCACCATATACAGTCGACTAACGGCACGCGTACCATGTTTTGGCTGACATACATGAAATGGCTACAATGGTGCAAATCCAAGATGCTATGTTTATTTGGGGTAGTGGGCACTGGATGAGTTAAAGACATTGATTGTGGTTCATAAATCAACACAAAAAAGCTACCATGCTCATTATAAAAGCATCAGCAGCAGCTGTGTTCTATCCACTGCTGGATGAAGGCCTCCCCACATCGTTGTCATCCCTCATGCAGTGGTGACGCTCTCATCCTTGGTCTCTTGTTTGGCTGCCATTGCCATACCACCATCAGTTCTGTAACTCTAGCGATGTGTACCAGCCAAACCCACTTACTTTTCTTTTAAATCAATGTCTTCGATAATTGTATGTTGTCTGTCACTCACACAGTCTCATTCTCAGCATGAATCTCCCTATGCTGCATTGCGTATCTTTTTAATCTTTTGTTAAATTTCCTTTATAAGTGTCGGATTCATAATTATCATAGCAATTAATATTCACCAGTTGAAAACTTGCATAGTTAAATATTTGTTATCAAATGAAAATGTTCAAAAGGACTCCAACCCACTCTCACTCACCCCTATTTAGGCATTTAGTATTATTGCCTTCGATATACATGTACGGTTGTGTTTTGTTCCAAAGCGCATATAAAACCAAATAATGAACAATTTACAGACCAACCAACCATACAAGCAAAATATATTTAGAAAACTCTTTTTCTACCATTGGCCACATACTATCAACCAGATATTAGAAAAGGCAATTACATTTTTTAAAATGTGCCTGGGTTTTCTAGACTATAATAAAGCATTTAGTTTGGTGGAAACTGGTGCACTCATTCAACCTCTCAGAAACCCAGGCCTTAATAAAGCATCTATAGATATAATATAGCAAATATATTAATGAAGATGGAACAATTTGTAATTTACATTAAGAGTAGTGTGTTGTAATTGTAACAGTTATCTTTAAATGGTCCACAATAATTACTTGTTCATTATTATTTTTAAGGTGGATTAGCTCAAGTATCTCTTCAAAAAGAGACTGTACTTTATAAGAAGGCTTTTGTGAGTCACTGGCCATTTACGTAAATTATTCCTCAAAAATGTTCCATCCATAAAAATTGGTACTTTTCATGGTAACTAAAGTCTGAATACTATTGTGTTTCTATTTTCCATTAAATATATAGATGTTAACAGATTTACAGCGCAGTAAATAACCCTTCATTCAGGCCGGTGCATTCAACTGCTCAAGCTGACCTCATCATGACCCCGCAGGCTAATGGATGCAGGACTCCATAGCAACTTGGCATCATTTTTTGCTCACTTGAATACCGAGCCTAACATTTTGGTAAAGCAGCACTTTTTGTTGTTTGTTTACCAATTGGCACTGGGCTACTCGCTTTGTCTTGGGGGGTTGCGCCGGGTTTTCTTTTTGTCGTCATCGTCGTCGGGCTGGATTTGTGACGGCCGTTTTCTTGCGTCACACCTCAGGGTGCCCCTGGTGAGCGCGGTCCCCCTGGCGCAGCTGGTCCCAAGGGCTCCAACGGTGATCCTGGTCGCCCTGGCGAAGCTGGCCTCCCTGGAGCTCGCGTAAGTGTCCCACAGAGTCACCCAAACTCGGTTTGATTTGTTTAACCAGGTGAAAATTAAAGAGACTTTGCACAGCCCCATTTTCAAGAGTGACCTTGTGTCACCAGAATGATCTAGGCAGAATAATGCAATAAATGATAGCGACTCCATCACACCGACCGTATAAATGTTAGCCAGGGATGAGATGAATCATAAATCTGCCACTTCTAAATGTTCACGGATACAAATCAAAAACAGTACTGACAGAAACTATGATGGTGTACCACCGTACAATCTGGAATTTGTGAATACACCGGTCTTATGCTCACCAGCTGAGACTGTCGAAACATCAACATTTATACTATGCTAATTTTTCCGGTCCACCCTATTGACAAAAAGTTAAAAAAACTTTATTTACAACCATTTTAGTGCGGACATTTCTAACTTCCTCTGTAATGTCCCACCATTGTGGACCGCAGCTTTGGCTGGATACACCTCTGATAAAGAGCTTCATAGCTCATTGGATTCTTCCAGCTTCAGTTACATCCATATGTACAGATATAAAATTAGCATTTCTACTGATTGGCTTGAAATTTTTACTGCATTTAATAGCAGCATTACTTCTACAATGTTACTTACACAGTCTGGCTGCTCTCTATTGTACAGAAGTGCTTCTCAATGTATGTCATTTTTTGGGAATATTGTTTAGCAAGAATGTCAAAGTTTTGTCTTGCTGTGCGTATGTTGACAGATTATTATCACACACGTTTGTCTTGCAGGGTCTTACTGGCAGCCCTGGAAGCCCTGGGTCTGAAGGAAAGCCTGGTCCTCAGGTCAGTACAATGCAATGCACCCATGTCTCATTTCAGAAACGTATCGTTTGTCATGAAGCGTAGACTCTTGATATATTTTTAGAATTCATAAATGATTCGTATTAAACTTTACTCATGAGCGTGCATCTTTCCTTCGTTACTCCTCTACTGGTTGAATTTGCACATCAATATCCATCCGGAGATCTGGAGGGCAGTAAATTGAGGATAATGGTCTGGGGAGGCTTATGTTCATCAAGCCTCAAAGTACCAAAATTGGGCCAAAATAATGAAACCCATATCAGGGTTCACTTGTCCGATGCCTCCCAACTTGCGTAGTAACGTGCACCTGCTTATCTCAATTTGTTGACCAAAGGTTTTGCTAGAGCACCAGTGTGGATGTAATGCAAATGGCTGGGAGTGTTATAAACAGTGATGCTCACCGAGACGTTTCATGACGTGAGATCTGTGACTTGCCTTGCCCAGGGTCCCCCTGGTGAAGATGGGCGACCTGGGCCCCCAGGTCCCCAGGGAGCTCGTGGACAACCCGGCGTCATGGGCTTCCCTGGACCCAAGGGTGCATCTGTAAGCACTCCTCCTCCTTGAGATCTTTCCTGTTCACGTGTTCACTTGGCCTCGGAGATGTTTAAATACAGTAATCTATTTAAAATAATAAAATATATATAATGAATATATAATTTCATTTGTTCAAGCAAGCATGAGAATTACAACTTCTCCAGAATGGCACTATATTGGGATGTTTGGCCATTTACATTCGTTAGTGTTTGGCACGTGAAAGGAAATTGGCAAGAAACCACGTTACAAGCTCCGTACAGACAACTGCCATCTCCTGGCCTTGTTATCTCACAACCCATTCCTACAATGCCTGGTATTCCCAGGTATTCTCCCAACCAAGCGTATACCTGCAAAGCTTCCATGTTTTAACAAGTTCAGTTACAATTCAAGACAAGTTTGTGATGTGGTATAGTTTACATACTGTGTGAGCTAAACTAAATGGAAACACATAAATTACACCTCTGCCTTATTTAACCAAAATGTTGTTATCCAGGAAACAAACAATGGTATCTCGAGGTTTCTAGGAGCATAAATGCAACAGATCCTTCAATGAGCAGTACATTGCCCATGTGCTGATACCATAACAAGTTTAAATATTTGGCCACCCTATATTTGCATGCGCGTGTGAAGTTAATGCCACATTGTTTTCATCGTGAAAATACACACAAGCAAAAAAATATCGACTAGAACTATCCATCACATGAATCCACAGCCTATCATGGGCCCTTTTTAGGTGACATTATTTGCATGGTATGGGATTTTTTAAGTGCCGAATACATTCGGATATGATTTATTTACCATGAGCTTAAGAATACATAAGCCTAGCCAGTTCTAAACCTGTTATAATTCCACACCTCCGATTAACTACTTACAGTGCTAAATAATTTCAACAAACAATACATAATTGCATGGCATGTCAGGTACACTTTTGAGTGATTTGAGCAGAGGGCGTTGTGTTGTTATTCCACAGTATGTAACATGCCTGCTGTCTTTGTGCAGGGAGAGCCTGGCAAGCCTGGCGAGAAGGGCATCCCTGGAGCCGCTGGCCTGAGGGTAAGCAGCAGTGGCAGAGCCTTCACAAGGCGCCTCAAATTCACATTCAGGATTTTGTTTGTTGTTCTTGTCTTTGTTGCAATGGAGATGTAACCTTCAACTTCCGCCTACCTATATGCTAGGGTCTGCCTGGCAAAGATGGAGAGACCGGCCCATCTGGACCACCTGGCCCAGCCGTGAGTACAATTGCAGTGCTTGACACGATCATAATTATTCATACCAGCAAGGAAAATGGTATACCTTCTTTAATAGAAAAAAAAAACAATGTTAAAAGGTCATCATAGTTAATATACTTAACGCAACCACACCTTACCATTGCTTCCTACTGCTAAAGGTGTCTAGAAATATATTGAAAATGTAAATATTATTATTTGAATCATCGATCACGCATAGACAATGATGTAGTTTTGGTAGCAAAAACACTCAAGCATACACAGAAATACAGCACAAGCATTGTTCTTATCTGCTCTCAAAATGTGTCTATTGTACAATGCTGGACCAATAGAGCACCTGCTGTAAGTATGAATGGTTACACTCTGCAGTATAGTGAGCATGCATTACAGAATGAAGGCCTTGATTTTGTGGAATCAGTCAGTGTCTCGTTCCCAGTATGTGGGGTAATGGTGTCCTCGTTGTTCACGACTTGCAGGGCGCTGTTGGCGAGAGAGGAGAGCAAGGTCCCCCAGGTCCCTCTGGCTTCCAGGTAAAACATATATTTTTTAATGTTCTTAATTTACATTTTACACGCATGGCACATTACAATAATGAAACATACAGTCCGGCGATACAGTTCGTACGCGTTCTTATTCACACATCTCAGGATTGGCCGTAACAATCTTACTCTTAATCAAAACATACCTTATATACCCACATTTTGTTCAACGCCATTTTGTGACCAATGAACCTACGTGCAAACCTGTGCGCTCTTTTTCAATGCACATCGGGTTGCTGCCGAGGGAAAATGCACACGCATGCACGGGTTTCCATTTCTAATGTGAGTTGTTTTGTCATGTTTAGTTGCAGGGAAATGAAACTAATAATCTCTGTCTCACTGTGTAGGGTCTGCCTGGGCCTCCCGGTCCCCCTGGTGAGGGTGGCAAGCCTGGTGACCAGGTACGGTTTCTTCAACCAACATCATTCTTTAGGCCGGGGAAGTCAAACATACCGCTCATGGGCCAGACGAAGATTTCTGTTATGCATGGCCACAGGGGTAATTTCATGGGTCCCCATGGGAGGACTTCATGGGTCCCAAGAGACAGTTGTGTACCAGTGGGTATGTGTACCAACTTTCGGTTTGCCCTACAGCATGGAAGTGTTGTGCTGTGATCCACAATTCGGTGTCACCCAAGCTGGGTACAGACTTGTTCCTGTGTGAGCCAGGATGAGTGCTGACATTCTTGTAGTGTGACGATGGTGGGTAGTGGATGTGTTGTGGTGTGACCTGTGGTGGGTATGGACATGTTGTGGTAGACTCGGGGTGGGTGTTCATGTCCCCTAGTCAGGCTGCAGATTGTGCTATTGCTCTGGTTTCTATTTGACTTGAGGAGGCCACCTGCCAACTTTCAGGGTTGGCTGACGTGGCTAAGAGTCACATTATATTAACATCATTTCATACAAATATATGGTATATGGAATATATTTATTTTTGTTATTAATTACCATAACATTTGGATATTATAGGCCGACATTTTTTCAAGGCATATAAATGGGTGAATAGTATGTTTAAACGTCGAAGAACTATTTTTTTCCCATGGAAAACGAAAAGGCTGTGGAATATTTACTACACGTCTATCAAATATATAATTTTAGGTGTATTGCTCCAACGTTCTTCAAATGTAGTTTTTTAACGATATATTAATGCTTCGTGCCATCTGTGTTTTGTCTCTCCACAGGGTGTTCCCGGAGAGGCTGGGCAGCCTGGACAGGCCGGCCCCAGAGTAAGTCCTCGCCCCTCATGTGCGCAACGCCACGCGAGGCTTTGCTCATGACATTGCCAGTGATGGTTGTCTTCATCCTGAGATGTGTGCGTGTGATATAGTAGCTGATGTGAGCTCTGCGTGGCGGCTTCACTTCACAGGGAGAGCGTGGCTTCCCTGGTGAGCGTGGCGCTTCTGGGCCTCAGGGACTCCAGGGAAGCCGTGGGCTTCCTGGCACTCCTGGCTCTGATGGCCCCAAGGTGGGCACAGCAAACACACACGCACAGCGGCAGCGTGGCGAGTGTCACTCCGTCCACAGCAGCACAGCTCAGACTCCCATTGGGCTGTAATTGCTCGATGAGCTCACATATCGACACATTACACGTTCATCTCATAAGTGGTAAAAAAAATTACCTGCAGAATAAAACAAAACAAATTGACAACAAAAACACAAGCAAAGTAAGCAACAATCAGTTAAATAACAGTGTGCTACTTCTCCACAGGCTTTCAAAGTTACTAGATGAAAGCCTTTGTCTGAAATGTTACATTATTATACATGCTTAATTTGTGAGGCAGTGCTTGTTAACAATCGGAGCCAGTGAATTATCTTCAGCCGGTGCCTCCACGTCACCGCCAAACCAGCCCCCGAAGTTTGTATTCGGAATTTTTAACCCGTGGGTTGCTGTTGCGTTCTGTTGTGATTCCACAGGGCGCCACCGGTCCTTCAGGCCCATCTGGGGCTCAGGGACCACCTGGCCTGCAGGGCATGCCTGGGGAGCGCGGCACAGCTGGTGCTTCTGGTCCCAAGGGAGACAGAGTGAGACTGCCAGCGCCTACACTCGATGGCTCTTCCACTGACGACTAACCCGAGAGATGAACAAACACATTATTCTGGTCTTAGGCCAAGTTTCTTAGCTAACGTGTTAATTGAGCATGACCACGTGCTTCTGGATCTATTTTTTTATGGTAGGCGTCACGAACATCTTATTTTGCATCTCCGTGCCATGATTGCAACTCCGATTATCACGGTTGGCTACGTACGGTGCAAAAGAAGTTCAACATACATACATTGATCAACACTACGTAATGCAAATATACACATTATTTTAGGTGAAGATGATTTTAATATAGACTGCAGTGTATGGCATGTGTACGTATTCTGCATATAGGCCCCCAAAATACTATGTATGTATATGCTGATGAACAGAAAACGGCACTTTGTGATGGCACACACTGGGATATGATCTGTCTTTGCTGTATACACCTGCCAACCGTCCCATGCCTCGTGTCTGTGTGCCAGTGGTTACGGTTTCATATCTCCATCATGCGCCACCATTGCTCACGTTCCAGTAAACATGCAGCGTTGTTCCATGCTTACTGGCATGCAACTGTTACAGCTCAGGGTACATTCTATATAACTGGGAGTGTGCACCAGTTAATTTTGCATGTATGATGCATTTGCCTGGATGTTACGATTCACTGCATAAATGCATTCTGGATAAGTTATAGATTTAAAATGTTTGTCCATGTGTCATAACGTATTTGCAGTGTATCTGTCAAACGACACTCTAGATGCCCTTGCGATGGAGACGTTCCATCTCAAGGGATTATCCAAGATGACATTTATTTTTAAATAGGACCACATTACTAACAACCTGTGTGACCTTTGCCTCACAGGGTGATGCTGGAGAGAAAGGACCGGAAGGTGCTCCTGGGAAGGATGGTTCACGAGTAAGTCATTATTTAAAACTGGAAACGTGTTTAAAAATCATGATTACTCTGTTTACTCTACATGTGTGGAATCACGGTGTAATGTTTAGTCTAGTATTATAATAATGTAAAATAATGCACTATATATTAATGAGGGTTTTAAGTGTATAGTATTATACCCTAGCAATAATTGTACGATAGAGATCATAAACAGCAAATTATGTATCGCAAGCAAGATTTTCACTTACGACATGGCACACGTTTACAGAGGCACTGTCACGCTGTAAGGTTTCCGTGTGCAGTGCTGCCTGGCTCAATCCGTGCTTCAGGTCTGACTCTAACGCTTCTCCGTTTCCTTTGCAGGGCTTGACTGGTCCCATCGGTCCTCCCGGCCCATCAGGCAGTGCTGGTGACAAGGTAAAGAATAATTTTCCTTCACGCACACGCTTTTAGATTTTTGGGCTAAATCATTTCACAGCTCAAAACAAATGTTATTTAAATCTTGACCTTGTGTTTAAATTAATCTACACACTTAACTTCAAATACCTTTTTCACGAACCAATTTGTAGCAAGGTGTAATCGTCTGAAGCACCGAGGTAATTTTTGTTGTTTCTGTATTTGATGTTCCATACATTTCTCTGCCATACCCTTTACCATCGAGCTGCACAATTGCAATGTGCATCATCTCTGTAGTCCCTGTGTTTGTTATGTAGAGGTAACATGTCCATAAATCATGAAATTAACATTAAATGATTCATAAATACACAAACATCCCGCTTTCTCACACTGCATCCGCCTGAGTGCATTGTGTGGACAGTGGAGCCTCCTGGTGGTCAGTGTTCACCCAACATCATCAACAACCTTCCATACACCATCGTCCATCTAAACATCGTCCACCAATGATTGCCCATCTATCATCCACCCAACATCATTGACTAATGATTGTCCACCTAACATAATCCGTCAAAAAATTGTTCACTGGTGATTGTCCATCTCACGCCATTCATCAATGATTGTCCACTTAATGTCGTCCACTGATGAGTGTGTCCATCAAATGTTGCCCTCTGCTGTTGTGTTTCAGGGTGAAGCCGGACCTCCTGGGCCTAGTGGCCCTGCTGGCACACGTGGGTCTCCTGTACGTGAGCTTGTTGTCCTCCATCCTGCTACTTTCACACACCGCACTTGTCGTTGTTAATCGTCGCAGTTAACCGTCGACAGGTTTGCGTCGTTGCAAAGAAGATTAAAGCGGTAGACTCTGAAGATTTCAAATCAGTTTGCATGCACAGTTTGAGAAATGAATGTAACTTGTGTAACATTTTTAAAAAATAACTCCCTCTTCGCAGCATAACTTCGTTTGGCGTGTATTGGTGGTGCAAGATTAATGGCCAACCAGGATTGTTCGAGCATGATCGGTCAAGGAGCGGCGGCCAGGTGTCTGCTGTGAGGAGTGTGTCTCTGGGTGGGAACTCAGGTGTGTGTTGTTGTGTGTGCTCCAGGGCGAGCGTGGAGAGACCGGTCCTCCCGGCCCTGCTGGATTCGCTGGCCCTCCTGTAAGTGTCGTCTCCTGTTACGCGCACACTCCTGCCCGCTTACGCCACTGCCCAGTAAACCACGCTCAGCCACTATGTGCTGCTTGTATAGCACCACTGGATCATTATTATTAACCTAACAGCACTGGTACGGGTGCTCTGCACCTCGCACAATATTGCTTATTTGAATATATGTAGGATATAAGCAGAGGAAATAAAAAATAGTTAAATATCAATGAAACAAACCAGGATATTTATACATACTTTATCCTCTGGACATATGCAGTATATAATGTTATTATGGCTGGGATGATTCGTCGATTAAGTCAATCAAACAACTTAAAATAATAATAGTCGACTAATTTATTTTCGTGGTCGATATTTCTGGCCCCTTTAAAAATGGCAGCCACCTCAACCTGTCTCCCGAAGGCAGGAAACCCTCGACAAACCACGCCCCACGTGACGTGCATACTTATGCTGATGACATCACCAAGCACCGCCCATTACCTCTCATGCAATGGTTCACATGGGTACAGTGGCAAGACTTTGGCCCAACTCTGATTGTGTAATCCGATTAGCCGAGTTATAAATATCGCCATGCAACCAAACTATATGATCATTTATTACTTGCTCACTTACAGACCTGCCTACTGAACACGAGCTCACTTGCCCACTCGCTAGATCATTCACTGGCTCACCCATCACTGGCTCACTCACTCGTGCACTAACTCATATATTACTCACTGGTTCATTCATTTGTCAACATACCCACCCGCCCGCCCACTCTACCACACGCCCACCCACTCAAGCCATCCACCCACCCAAATCGACCCACACACCCACCGACCCACAAACTCACTAACCCACCCACTCACTCGTCCACCCACTGACCTGCTCATTCACTCACCCACCCACTAACAGTTCAGTAGACTTACAAATGTATTGTTCAGTCATATTTTGAAGTATCATCTTCATTATCCAAATGCAGCATGCAACATGATACATTAATTATTATCAAGATGTATTAAACAATTTATGAGTGTGCATATTTTAATAGTATGCTCTTAAGGCATCCTACTATCCCTTGTACACACGCATATTTATGCTAATTAAAAAATATAATTTGGTGTATACTGTGGCTGTGTTTAAGGTTCAGATATGGACATGGCTGGGTGGAAATATGGAATTATGTCCTGGATTTTTGATTCCTGGGCTTCTATGAGGGCCCCCACATGTAGTCACAAGAGAGGCCACTTATCTCCTCTTCCCTCTCCACAGCAACAGCAGCAGAGCCTCAGTGCGCCTCCCCATTCCCAAACGTAGACTCTCCTCCTGTGCCATCGCCACGACCCCAGGAGCCAGGAGTGAGAGCTCTTCCTGCTGACGGTGTGTGTCTGCTCTGAGACCTCTCTCCCCCGGCTGCTGTCTTCCTCTAGGGTTCAGATGGACAACCCGGTGCCAAAGGAGAGCAGGGAGAGTCGGGTCAGAAGGGAGATGCCGGTGCCCCTGGTCCTCAGGGTCCTGCGGGCTCCCCCGGTCCCCAGGTAACCTCATCCTTGCCAGCGCCGACCACTCCTCGAATCACAACTAAGCAGCGCAGAGATGCACACACGAGTTCACTGTTTTATTGTTTGAATAACTTGTACTTGACACAATAGACTCCCATTAGGCTCGTAATAATTTGCTTAATTCCAATCAGTCTAACTGGTAATTATTAAAATGGGTGAATTAAAGATATAAAGACGTGGCCTTAACGCCTTTCAATGTTGACATATTGACATGGGTAAAGTATTGTACTACAAACAGCTTGAAATTAAGAGTGCCACCGATCCCATTCCGTTATAAATGGCCGTGTGTTTATCTTACCTGCCGATTCAAGTGATGGTTAATCACTCGGTCTTGTGTTGCTGTTGTTTCAGGGTCCCAATGGCGTTCCTGGTCCCAAAGGTGCACGTGGCGCACAAGGTCCATCTGTAAGTGCCACTGAAGGATGTGATCTGCAATGTGCATGAGACACTCACCTGACAGGCTACATGTTTCTGACATGCTGTGTGTGTGGAATAGTGAGCGTTCTCTTGTCTACACGTGTGTGTATGTTTCCTCCATATACTATGGTTTGGTCATGCAATTAGTCAAACATCTCAAAAGCAGGACCTTTCTGAACAACTCATTCAAAGACTTTGTGACCGTCTCTGAACTATTAGGTTCAGGTTGTTTTTAAGTGTGTAAACAAAGTCAGTTATTTATTTGCAGCGTGCATATTTCTGACAATTATCTTTCAGCCAATACAGCAAAAGCAACATCATTGTAGTTGGCATTAGCTAACTCAAGCGTACCATAATTGATATAAACCAATGCATATCTTTAGTGTGTGCACTCACACCAGTGAAGTTCACGAAGAAATAGTTAAGCAATTCAGACCGTCATCTTGGCTACATCCGACTGAGGTCATTATTTACTCACAGATGCACGCGTGCACCAGTTGCACACGAGTACGTTTTGGTTTGCTTATCCTCGGTGTTTATTAATGAATGTAATTTCTCCGTTCCATCCCCCAAGGGTGCTACTGGATTCCCTGGAGCTGCTGGCAGAGTCGGCCCACCCGGCCCCAACGTGAGTACCACTCTTCGGCAGAATACTTGGCGATGAGGAGCGTGGGTAGCAAAGTTTGCGGTGAAAATCCACAGAGTACAATCATAGTTTTTTTTAAATAGCACCCTTTACACTGGGGTGTCTCAGATCGCTTCGCATGCGATGCACGACTTACATCACATCTAACCTTAAACAGTTGGAACAGTACTATCAGTGGCAACTGTCTCTGTGAAGCACATGTTCCACTCGGCACCAGGCCTGCAAGCAGGCATTAGTCGACCAGTAGGAGGCGATGATTGCTGCAATGTGTAATCTCAATTGAGCAATTTGCATGCACCCATCACCTTGTTCGTGGCCAAAACGTTGATGTCATTAGCTCAAGAGAGAGAGTAAGATATGGCAATTGAGAATTATGACATAGAAAAATAAGGGACTTCATATTGCCACTACCGATGCACAACCGGACTGACATTGTAATGATTAATGTAAGCATTAGCAGTTACAAATGTGTTCTATGTTTATTCACTATTCATATTTTAAATATATCTCAACCCAATGGCAGATCCAAGAAAGGGGTGGATGGAGTGGATTCCCCCCGCCCCCTCCCACCACCTTGAGACCCCCAAAAATTGGTATTGATATTTGCCAGAGGAAATAGTGTAGGTTAATGTTTTCTATATTAACGTAGGGCACTATTTAAAAAAGCTTTAAATATCAGGACACCTCTCCCATTGGGAAGTTTTAGATCCGCCACTGTTTGAACTGCACGTAATAATGCGTTGTATAACCGACCTTTATTCTGAATACATAGCACAAGGCGGGCACCCTGGGCGGTTGTCCCATCTCTCTGCTCCGTAGGTGACTGTGCCCTGTGTTCGTGCACTGTGCTCAGGGCAACCCTGGTCCCCCTGGCCCACCTGGCCCAGGAGGCAAAGACGGACCCAAGGGAATCCGTGGAGACTCTGGCCCTGCTGGCCGCCCTGGCGAGCCTGGACTGCAGGGAGCCTCTGGGCCTCCTGGCGAGAAGGGCGAGCCCGGCGAGGATGGGCCCTCTGTAAGTGCCCAGAATGCAGAATCGCAAGAATCAGAATATTCCTTTACTGCTGGAGGAATCCGATGAGCTATAAAGCTCTTATTGACAGATGTCCAATGCAGACCCTACGCGCACGCTTGTGTTCGTACGTACCTCACGTGCAGCCTGTGTACCTGCCCCCAGCACAAGCATGTTGTCTGTACACTCTAGCAGCTGTATTCTGTACAGGTTTGCTGTGCGTTTATTGTTCCGGTCTGTCAAGGCTACAGACATGGTGCCAAAGTCATAACTATTCATTGATTACCTTAGGTAAAGGCTGTAGTGTATATTTTCCTAGGTTAAACAGTACCATTAATTTTACACTTTAAACAAATATCCCTGACACTGATTGTTTATGTGATGCTCGTCACCAAGCCAGCAGAGCTGAAAAATAACAAAACTATGTCCTGTGCAGTGGGGTGAATCCTGCTTGCTATGTGGCAAGGGTTACATTAAACTAGGAAAGGATTATGTCATGATGTACATACACAGCCCTTTTGTCATTTCACTGTTTGGATGATAAACTTTCCATGGCGTGTGGTTCACGGGGGTTATTTGAACACACTTTACCACACTGATCAGTGTGGATTGGTGAAGATAGAGAACATAGATTATGGAGTTTGGGAAGTACAGTACAACAATTTGATGTTGTACTGTACTAGTACTAATGCCCACCACATAGCCCAGCAGTGGTCCGCAGCATGGTGTTCACTCAACCAAGCACTTAACCGGGCTCACGCCTGTTTAGCTTCCGTGATCTGATGAGATTGGGGCATTCTGGATGATTTGGTCAGAGGCACAATGGAAGCACATTGGTAAGGGGTACGGGACGTTCTTTACTGTGTGACGTATGATTTGGAGATACGTGACTTGTGATGTTGTTGTTGTTGTTGCTGTGCAGGGCCCTGAAGGTCCCCCAGGCCCCATGGGTCTCGCAGGCCAGCGTGGTATTGTTGGTTTGCCCGGCCAGCGTGGTGAGAGGGGCTTCTCCGGCCTCCCTGGCCCATCTGTGAGTATCACCACCCCTCCATTGCCAACACCAGCATGTCACAAGCTCACCGAACATACACAGACAATTCTCATTCTGAACATGTCCGACATGATACTACACATTATATATTAGAATTATGGATACCACCTACATCCATTAGCTATGAAAGTTGATTATATTAAAGGATAATGATTTTTTTTTGGGGCCTGGGTGATACAAAAAAGCCTATTACAACTTTACTCCACTGTTTACCGCGTAATTGTGCGATTTCGTAGCCATGTTCATGCGACTTAACCTTACATATTGACATGGAGAACATCTCACCTGTGGCCCCTTGTGTCTACTTCTCTTCACTAGGGCGAGCCTGGTAAGCAAGGGTCCCCTGGGCCATCTGGAGAACGAGGGCCCCCTGGCCCTAATGGCCCACCTGGCCTGTCTGGCCCCCCTGGCGAGCAGGGACGTGATGTAAGTGATGGCTGACGAACGTGACACTGTCGCACACAAGTTCAAGGGCTTGGTTTTTGTTTTGTCCATGCGTAATAGCGAACTGCCTATATCTCTTGATGTTTATCTGTTTTGTGTTCTCGTAGGGCAATCCTGGCTCTGATGGTCCTCCCGGCCGTGATGGGTCTTCTGGACAGAAGGTGAGCACAAAGCAACTTGGTTTGTATAGGGACAGAACTAAAGTATATTGTCACCTTAACTCTAATTGTGTAACATTATCTTTACAATGAAACTTATGCTGTGGTTCAGTTCTATTTAGTAGCAAACAGGAGTATTATTATTCCAGGAAACTGGTACCAGACTTTGTCTGCTTTCTATTAGCTTTGGCCCAGGACAGATTGAGTTATTGAAGATGTCGTATTTGCATTCAGCACACCTCAAACCTTCCTGGTACAAATATACTGAAGCCTTAGTTTAAAAACACGACAATAAAAAATACCTCCAAAAGTGGGACCTCAATGAATTTTATCTTCTTTAAGATTTTAAAATCTGATAACATATTTGGCTTTAACGCCTCTCAAAATCTCCAAATAGGGTGGCCGTGTGGCTCAGAGGTCAGAGCGCTGAGCTGGTACCGCTGAAATCCTGGGTACAATCTCAACCCTGTCAGTCATGTGACTGCACCAAAACGTCTATTACATTTGGATGTTTACTTAATTTGGCCAAATTCAAGCTCCGATACTTATTAGTGCCATATTTCAGCTTTCCGGCCCTGCTAGAACATTGTAAAAATGTACAATGTTTACGATGCCATGAACGGCTATATATTAGATGAACCTAATAATGCTTTACGGTTTTGCACGAAGTTAATAAATAATGACATTAACAACTTGATATATGTTGGCACAGCAAAGGGGAAATTGACATGACTTTGTAAAAATTATTGCAAGACAAAGTAGCATAGGCTACAGTGAAACTTTGTGATGAGTGTAATCATTATATTGAGAATTCTACATATTATTTTGATACATATTTAGTAAAATATGGTTTATCAAACCAAAATCATGACATTAATGATAAACTTTCTTTGAATGCATATGAAGCTTAACAATTGGCATGACTGACATTTAAGAAAGTCTAGTGAGGCATTGAGTGAAGCCATTGTTATTCAAGTGATTTCCTATTTGCCATGTCTCATGTGAGACATTTCCTGTAGTTAATTTCCATTGGTTGTCATAATCATGGATTGTTTCTTATAAGCAATGAAAAATATTGTGGATAGTCTTCATCCAGCAGTGGAATGATAGTGGCTGATAATGATGATGTGACAAAAAGAATGCGACTGTTCCAACTAAAAGTTGTATGCCGATTTTACACAAGCCATTGGCGTTATTCATATTTTACAGATAGAAACAAAACTCATGTTAGTAACTGAGATGTTTGCATGTATTATGTCCACGTGGAAGAGCCGAAAGGGTCTTTCGCTCGGGGATACTGCTCCAGAGTGTCAGGCGTGGTGAGCGCTAACGCGAGGCCGTGTGTCACCATGCAGGGTGAGCGTGGAGAGAATGGCTCGCCAGGACAGCCAGGTGCACCCGGTGCCCCAGGAGCCCCCGGACCAGTTGGGCCTACCGGCAAGAACGGCGAGAGGGGAGAGTCGGTGAGCATGGCCACTGTGTAGGCCTCAGTACTTAGGCGGATTGTGTGTGTAACCATGGTAGCCGTCACTAGTGGCGATCCTGTGTACAAGAGTGGACTCATGCGTTGTGCAATGTTACAAACATTGGGCGAGTCTATAAAATATTTTGGGCTAAAATTTCGTACGATTTAAAAGCCAGTGAAATACAATTTGTATTTATGAAAGTGTCTAAATGCAACTGCATCGCAAGAATATACGCACAACAGGGAAACATGTTCGGCATGGGAAAAGGGTATTTATATAGTTTACATACAGTTTGTAAAATGAGAAATTCAGTCATATGCGGAACAGAATATACAAGTTTTTAGTCTGGGCTTGAAGGGACAGTGCATGAAGGGGAGTAGAGATGAGAGGTGAGAGGTAGGCAGGGATCAATCTATGGATGATCATTAAGATGGTGAGTGTAAACTTGTAGTTGATCTGGGACTAGAATGGGAGCCAGCAGAGGGATTGAAGTATTGGGGTGATGTGATCATCTGGTGTTTGTAAGGGATTTGAGGAGGCCATAGAGTTGAGACCTGCAGAGGTATTTCTATTGAACTTTAGCTATGCCACTCGAAGCTATGCTACACAATAAAATCAATACAATCTTCTTTAATTTTGTAATATAAATTTGCAACGTTGTTGTACTTACATGAAAGGTTTATCATATCATTATATATATTAATTTATTCGTGATATGCCACGTCAGTGGCAATGTATATGGACGTATTTTGTACAGGATTAAACGATTGTGGCCCTTGTGTGATGTGTGCTTCTTCTAGGGTCCTCAAGGCCCGATAGGTCCCCCTGGCCCAGCTGGGGCTCGTGGTCTGCCTGTAAGTGTTTCCTTGCCTTGTGCCGGCACTTACACATATTCATCCACACACATATTTACACGTGACGCATATTTGTCGTCGTGAATGGAGTAACCTTGAATTATTATTACACTGTAGACTTGATTGCACTGTCGTTTGGTTGACAGGGCCCACAAGGTCCTCGTGGTGACAAGGGTGAGAACGGCGAGCACGGTGAGAGGGGCATGAAGGGACACAGAGGCTTCACCGGTCTCCAGGGTCTGCCTGGTCCCCCGGTAAGTCGTTATGCAAATGAAATTAAAGATACTGTCATTAAGTTCAAACAAAATGGCAAATACAAACTGGCAAATTACTGTGTGTGTGGACAGCGACACTGATCCTGCATCAAAAATAAACATTAGCCATGCAGTGTCAACATTTGCATGAATCCCGTGTCATGAAAGTGACGCTAAATTTGTAAGAACGTTTAATGAAAGGATGTTGACCCGAGATATCTACCAACGTTTTGTTTTTTAAATGCTTCCACATATATTTGTAGCAAAACGTTATCGTGATGCATATGTAACTGCTGTTTCACATTGTGACAATGTTATCACTAGTATCCATGCAGTTAAAAAAGACAGTCGTTTGTGCAAGTTGTTACTATTATTGCGGTATAGATGACTGCAACGGAGTTCTTGTGAGCACACATTGCTTTTCATTAGCCACGAAATATGTGTACACAACGAGAAGATGTTTGTAATATTGACTTTGTAGAGTTTAGTTTTGGTTATGTATTTGCTGAGGACTGGCTTGGTATTGATGTGCCATCATCGTATCTGCCACAGGGTTCATCTGGTGACCAAGGTGCTGCTGGTTCCCTGGGCCCTGCTGGTCCTCGGGTGAGTCCATGTCCTGTGCTCGACTATATTGTTCCAGACGCTGAATGTAAATAGTCAGTGGTACTTTATTGACTCTGAAATCCATTCACTTTTAATGCCATTAACTAAATGTTAATTTCTTGTTATCCTGTGCATACATCTTTCGGTAGCCTCAGTTTTTGCATTCGATATTTTTGTTTCCGACACTTGCTTACCTTATTGCGTTACCGTAGCACTGCTATAGGAAGGTGGAGTTGACAACGTGAATTGGTAAAATGAGCAGCCAGGTAAAGTCTCTTGTTCTGTCCACAGGGTACTCCTGGCCCTACTGGGCCTCCAGGCAAGGATGGCTCTAATGGTCTCCCCGGCCCCATCGGTCCCCCCGGCCCACGTGGTCGCACTGGTGAAACCGGCCCTGCTGTAAGTCAGAGTTTTGTGGTGTTTTTACATGTCTGCTTTCACACTCAATGAAAGCATTTTGAAGAGCTAAAGCGTCATTTTTTGTTCGTCTTTTCTACCTGCTATTTAAAGAAGCAGACAGCTCAGTCGTTAACATATTTGCCACTGACGCAAATTACATCCGTTTAAATCTACCAGCGACATGCTACTACAGCTGAGCGTTACTGAAGTGGCTATCGGACATAAAGGTGATAAAACAAAATAAAAAACTCCATGCTGATTGGGCGATTTAATGACATGTACTTGCTAAACATTGAATATGATCTCAGCTGCTGAAGTCAGAATTACAATTCTTCCACAAAAAGGCTGCACGTTCGTGTGCATGAGATCATAATACATGCAAGAAGTGTAAGGCTTGAATTATTACAACAAAAGCCACGGTGTTATGTGGTTGAATTAAGTATACATGTTCCATGTGAATTTGCACGAAATACCCTCTGTTGAACACTTTCCATCTTCTTTGTAGTAATATTATGATTGAACTGGCTTTGTGCTCTAGGGTCCATCTGGTCCCGCTGGCCTCCCAGGTCCTCCTGGTCCACCTGGCCCTGGGATGGATATGTCTGGCATGTCCATGATGGGATCCCAGGAGAAGGCCCCGGATCCAATGCGATTCTACCGTGGCGATCAGGCCTCAGCTGATCTGAGGCAGCACGACGCTGAAGTTGATGCCACTCTCAAGTCGCTCACCAACCAGATTGACAGCATCCGCAGCCCCGAGGGCTCTCGCAAGAACCCAGCACGCACTTGCCGGGACCTGAAGCTCTGCCACCCCGAGTGGAAGAGTGGTGAGTGGGTCTACTCGTTGCAACACTCACAGTTTGCATTGAATATTCCACTTTCATCGGGAAAAAAGGTAGAAGACAAAAGTCAATTGACACGATTTGAATCACCAGACAGAGTCTGTATGTTAAACGTAGTAGTAGTCAAATCCAGATATCTTGTTCATATTCAGAGATTCCAAGCACCCCCTGCGATAAAACCTTCACAGTCAATGCTAAGGCTGGTGGAATCGGCTGAAGCATTGTTGTCCTTCCGATTAGTATGGTTGGCTAAAGAAGTTCAACATAAATACATACAATCAAAGCTTCTGGAACCTAGGTTAGCTAAGAAATCATCTTCCTGCATCTCAACATTGTGAACATTTTTTTTACGCTAATGTTCCTACAAAAGAAAAATTGACGTCTAATGTTCCGTGTATTCTTTTCCAGGTGACTACTTCATCGATCCCAACCAGGGCTGCACTCTGGATGCCATCAAGGTGTTCTGTAACATGGAGTCGGGCGAGACCTGCGTCTATGCCAGCCCACAGAACGTTCCACGCAAGAGCTGGTGGACCAACAAGAGCAAGGACCGCAAGCACATCTGGTTCGGAGAGACCATGAACAGCGGTTCACAAGTACGTTCATGGCTATAAAATGGTCTCGCTCAAACATCGATGCATAATCTCTCACAACGTCGGTTTCAGAGCATGGTTTACCTTCCGTAAACATTTCAGGCACAATGTATCAGTGGTAAAATAAATAAATAGGTTATTTTCATTATTTGACTGTAAAAAGTCATAATGGAGGCAACATAAATCATTACCGATTGCCTTTCTCGGTAATTTATAGCATTAGAACTCGGTGTAGCATTTTATATGAAAAGCTTTCCCAGGACTAAAATAACACGATTATCAATCAGAATGTGATCTACACCTGGAATATATACAACTTGCTCACGTACCTGATTGACATTTTATTTCTACAACATGTAAACATTCCTATATTATAACTGTATATAGACCAATCACGCTGCTGTAGTTTGGTCTAGATATTTGTTTAGGAATAAAAATGCGGGAAATGCTCAAACAATACTCAGCATTTGCAACATAAACTAACGATATGGTCCGCGGGACTTTGGTGTGCACAGTGGAGGTTGTTTACTAACCTTGGCGTTTGTTCTCATCTGCACAGTTCAACTACGGCGATGACAGCCTGCCACCAAACACAGCGGCCATCCAGATGACCTTCCTGCGCCTGCTGTCCACCGAGGCTTCTCAGAACATCACGTACCACTGCAAAAACAGCATTGCCTACATGGACGAACAGGCCGGCAATCTTAAGAAGGCGCTTCTGCTCCAGGGCTCCAACGACATCGAGATCCGCGCCGAGGGCAATTCTCGCTTTACCTACAATGTGCTGGAGGATGGATGCACGGTAAGGGGCCGTTCATTACACACGATTGTGGCACCTGCTGTTAATCTGTGTTATAAAGTACAGGATTTTATTTTATACATTCCCACATTATGCCTTCAGTTATATAAAGAGATATGGATCACAAATAGGGTCAATATTGCAATAATTATTCTACAAAGTTTAATTGAGCCAGCCTTTGAAAGGGTAACAACAGGCAGACAAAGCAAGTAATGGAATAAAATACCATGGATGAAATACATGTGATGGCATTACAAATCAGAGCATGTCGAATGATGATCATCACAACGACGATGGGCATCTGTAATGAGATAGTACTTCTGTCACATTTGCTCATTGAACTCTGGTTTCTCAAATATAAACAAATGCTTTAATGCTGATTTTTTTCTCTACAGAAACACACAGGGGACTGGGGCCAAACAGTCTTGGAATACAGAACACAGAAGACATCCCGCCTGCCTATCGTCGATATCGCTCCTCTGGATATCGGTGGTGTGGATCAGGAGTTCGGCGTGGACATCGGCCCAGTCTGCTTCTTGTAAAATGGACCTTGACCATCTTCCCGTCATCTCAAGGACCCTTGCACTGACAGGCTGACCATACCAACACTGCTCTGGTCCATCCACACGCTTATCTTTTGGATCTCATGGCCAAAAATAAATAAAGACAACATCTAAAGTGAGGAAGGAATCCGCCATTGTTATTTATTTGTGTGTAGCTCTTGTAAAATCCCATGGCAGAGGGAGGTGCTGAATATGTGTCATGCTGAGAAGTCCCTTGGATGCATGCCACACCCCGATAAACTGCCAGTGCCATTTGAGTATGTAACAATGGTAACATCCAGAATATTTTTGTGGGAGCCTTGGAACGTGGCCTGTCAAGATCTTGTATTAGATTGGTTCTAAAAAATATAACATCTATGGACCACCTGTATTTTGATTTTTTTAATATGTAATTTTTGATAATACTAAAAGCATCAACCTTGGCCTGTTTTTGTATGTGATAAGGAAGTTGCAACACCTAATTGTTCCCAATTTTAAGCTACCTCATGTAGACAGTACACCCATCGTAGCATGAAGTACTGGGACAGGTCTGATGTTTCAGCATTCCATCTTGATATTTTTTAAAGAAAAAATATTTCTTTTCATAATGGTGCTACTTTGTATTGGGTTCTCCTATGATAAAATATTCTATTAAGAGTTACAATTTAAACTTGAAGAACCCACTAACCTTTATCTATGGTGCTCATTCATCTGTTCCTTGGTCCCTGTCTGACATGTAGCGTTCCAAACACGTCAGAAGTTGGGAATGTTGTGTGACAAATGGCAGTATTAATGGAGCGTCCGTCCATTCACGTAAAAAGCAGTGATGGCTTTGTGCTCAACATGGATCTGTGGTAACTTTCAGTGAACCAACAGTTTCACTGCACATTAATGTGTTCCAAAAAATAGGCATGTGGATAACAGTGTTTTGCATCAGTTTTATTTTTATTTTATTTTTTAAATTTTTTCACTGATTTTTCTAAAGGTCCTTGGTCTATGCAGTATCCTTCTTTGTAATTAGAGGGGAATGGCAAAGAGGTGGATGTTTTTGGGGGCAACCACAAGGATATGTACTATTTTGTATATGTATAATAGTTCAGATGTCTTGAATTGCATTTTTTCAGTACTGACCCTTAAAAGCATGGTAGGTGTAGCAGCCTTGTCCTCCACTCCATTGAACTAACATCTAGTGTTCTTTCGCCTGTGATGTTGTATCTTCCCCCACCAGCTCCCCCTCTTCCATGGCAATAAAGGTAGAAAGCTTTTCTATAAAAAAGAAAACTCCCATGCGTTTGTTTTTAATTTGTATTTTTTTTAATACGATGTACCATTGTTGAATGTTTAACATTTTTTTGGGATAAATAATGACAAAAAAGGAAAAGTATGGAAATAAACATTTACTAAAAATCCCCTGCTTCCAAACATTATTTGCACCATTTACAAAGAATAAAATATTGTTTGAAAATAAACACATGCAAACCAAATTATGTTGGTCTCAGTGCAAGCAAAGCAATTGCAATGGACATGCAAGCATCATAGCTGTGGTAACAATAAAATACACTAGTTATCTCCAGTGTAGTTACATTCTCAGGTACATCATTCTACGATAAATATGGTAATCACGCTGGAGTGAATTTCTGTTTGGGACTGGAAAACAAGCTATTTAAAGTATTTTATAAATATCTACTGCAGTGAAAAGTTATTACCTTGATCAAGTCAACGAGCTCAGAGTGAAGCATTAACACGTGATGTGACTAAGTGGCTTACACACATTGCAAAGTAAACCCTAGGCTCAACATAGATTACGATATAAGATGTCCCTTTTGCATCCCTTCAGTGGCGGTTTCTGAGTACAGAGATAAAACACACCCCAAGCCTATGGGGCCGTCCATAACTGACGTCACGCGATTTTTGACCCCCCACCCCTCATCACACGGCGTCACAAAAAGTCAGATCCCCTTCAAATATGACGTCACAAAGCTCTGCCCCCCCCCCCCAAAAAAAAAAACATGCTTCAAATCTTTTAAACTATTGTCATTGTAGTGCGTATTTAATGTGGCGCTGCAATCTGATGTTGTAGGAGAAAACATCAAAAAGTCTAAAGTATTTAATTAAGGAGAACGTGTCGTCTATACTTATTTAAAGTTGAGTATTTTGATGTGACGTCACATTTCTCAACCCTCCAACCCCCCCTTGTAACACATCATTTATGGACGGCCCCTATGGCCTCTCCAAATCCGCTCCGTACTTAAACACTTGACATGATAACCCATGTTATCAACCCCCCACCCTCACGAGCATTTATTGCCAACATACATGTGCGTTTGCCAATGTAATGTACAAAAAAAAACACTAGGGTATCCTCATGTTCTGGTAGAAACATCCGGAAGTGCTCACTGGGCTCTGAGACGGTACATGGATCTCTCTCAGTGAGTGCAGCACACAGGATCATGGGCAACGTTAACCATCGGTGACTACGGTGTGGATCTCGGGACTAGCCAGTTACGAATAGAATTGATATTGAATTAGTGCTTAAGTACAATTGCATCACTCAACACCTTACAGAATATGAGCATGGCACTGGTGACGAATAATAAAAACAATAGCAATCAATGGTGGTGGAAAACATGGGAGAAAGGGTACATGATGACATGGCGCATGACCTGTAGGGATGCTTGAGCCACTCAGTCCAAAACACAAACCCCTTTTCCCCTGGCACATCGAAGCCGAGCCAGTACAAGGCCTTCATGGTACAAGTAATTTTTCCAATGGCAATTTGTTGTGCCGAGTCAAAACCAAATTGCGATCGGCTGGAATCGTATCTGAATCGGTGCAATGTGAGTGAATACCCAGCGCCAGTGCATCTGCTACAGGCATCTCGAGTGGACTCTCGACTCATTCATTGTCAGTACACTGAGAACACCTCCACGTCGTCTATATGCGTTCACGACTTTGCGTGTTGATATGAGCGACACGGCTCTGCTTTTGCAGTGGCTAAAAAAAAACTTTTCCTGAGCTGCACCGGCCTGATTGTAACAGCCCCATTGTTGCTCAGTTGTTCAGTGGCAAAGAGGTTTCAGTCGCCAGCAAACGTATTCTCCAGAAATAATTAAAGTCGCTTCTAGGCCACCAAACAACTGCCACAATCATGCCATCCATCTCAGAAAGTCCCCCCAGATAGGCCCCATAACTTCCAAAGCACATCCCTGGTTGCCTGCGAAGAATTCCAGGCACCACCAAGGCACAGTCCTAACAAGTCACAATAAAGTGGTGGCATCACCACAGGCGGACTTTAGTAGGCCTAGGTAGTCCTTGTGCATTCTAGAGAAATATTGGCGCTAACAATATTTACTATAAAGCCATGGCGAAAATCTGGGCCCTGGAAGACACTCCATTCATATCATGGCTTCGACCCATCAAGACCTAAGAAAGGCATGGCACAGCTCCAATGAACATCAGGAAAAAGTCCCAGTATGGCCTTGGCACAACTTCTACAGATCCTAAAGAAATCCCAGCAATACCACCAAGGAACAAAGTAAAAAAAAAGCCATGAAAGAAGAGATAGCAAAGGTGAGCGGAAGAGGGAGGATTGTGTGGGGGTCGCTAGCCCCCGAGATCCCTCCCTCGATAATGTTAACGGCCGGGCTAGCATCATCAATCGCCCCCCCGCTGCTAAGCGAACCGCTGCTAAGTTCCTCACCCATGGGGTGGAAGCCGTCGCCCGAGGATTCCACTCCACCGCGGGTCCGCGTAGCAGGCATGGTTAATTACGTACGCGCACACCCACACACACAGCTCCGTACGGCACTCACTCTTGCGCTTCTCTGCGCCGCGCTGGCCGCTCACGTTACAATCGCGCACCTGGGGTACGCCGATTTCGCACGACGAGAGCTTACGCCTACACCGTACTACACGCGTTCACACTTATAACACGTAACGAGCACACGCAAGCGGGGCACACGCCGACACAACGACTAAAGTCGCCGCCGCCGTGCGCGCGAGATAAACCGTACAACAATGCGCAGCCGATTACGCTATGATCGCGCACCTGGGGGACGCCGATTACGCACGCTGCGAGCTTACGCACACACAGTACCACACGCGTTCCCACACGCTCACACTGCACGACAAGATCACGCGAGACCACGCTTCGCTATTAATGATTTATTACCTGATAACTAATGTTGAATTAGTGAGTCGACGAGGCTGGCCTATTCCACTAAACCGGCACCTATTCCCTATTTATCGGCTATGATTCTAATTCCCCTTCTTACTCACTGTTAAGTGTCCACGGCGGTCCGCTGATCCTTGTGTTAACCGCGTGCCTCGGTGCGTCGCACGGACGTCCGGGTCGCTGGCTCGAGCTGCGTCTGGTCGCCTGGCGCTGGAGTAAGAGAGCGATTTCCCCTCTGCGCTCCTCTATTTATCCTCCCTACCTCCCAAAGGGGATGCTGCGCTGAACAATGGGCTCGTGCACCCCAAGCCCGCGCACGGCAGTCCCCAGGCGCTGTTGATATGCTAATCAGTGTGCTGCGTGCAAGGCGTAAATCCTAATTACTCCCTTACCCTTCCTACCAATGGGGCTTGCGCGCTCAAGCGCAATTATCCCAGCCCTCCATGACTATGCGCAACAGCCCCTGTGACCCCGCTATTCATGCTGTCCCGTGCCTCCCCTGCTCGCCCCGTCGACCCGTGGGAGTGTGTGTGGGGGGAAATGCGCCTCAACCGCGGTGGCCGAATGCCCCACGCCACGACCTACCATATTAAGGCCGGCCGCAGCGCCGCGGTGCCACGTAGCACGGGGAGGTCATCCAATTCCCTGATCGCCGGAAACCGTGAGAATTAATCCCGATAAGGGTCTCTCGGATAAAAACCGGTCGATCAGGTGACCTTCCCTTCCAGCTCTATGGGGGGGGGGGAATGCGTGCGGGTGTGTGCTTATGTGGGGCGGGTGATGGGGGGCAGTGCGGTGGGGGAAGCCGGGCGGCTCCCTGGTTCGGCAGAGCGGCCCCGTCGTTGTGGCACCACATAGCCCCCCGGGGTGCCAGTCCCCGTCCCGGGTTGACTGGAGCACCTCGCCTGGGTTGCCCCCACGAGGTATCGCCGCGGGGTCCGCGGGATTCGCCCGGCCCTTGTGGCTGGCCTCGGGGGTGGCGGCTCCGTCTCCTGGGGCTCCGGCGGTGGTCTCCTCCTCCATTCCAACGGCTCCCCTCGGCCTCTGGCACCTGCGGGCTGGGGAACAAACTCAGAGGCGGTGGGGTTTAAGGGTCGCCGTCCTCGTCGCCCCCGGCCCCGCCCGGGGCCCCTCGGAGCCCGGGGCTCCGTGGGGCCCATGTACTGCGCGAGGCCCCCGGGCACGGGGGGTGGGGGGACCCCGGGGTTTCGGGGTACTTGGACGGCGGGGCTCCCCCCCTCGGGGGCTGCTCGCCACGGCTTCAGTCGGCGGATGTTGACCACCATCTCCCGGCCCCTCTCTCCTCCCTGAATCAGCACCGTCCATGGTGAGATCTGCCGTCTCACAATCCAGGGTCCTCGCCAGTAGGTGGTCAGCTTCCCCACCTGTCCGGCACCGACGCGGGGAGTGTACAGCCACACCTCGGAGCCCGCAGTGTAGAAGGGGGGCTCCATACGGGGTCGGGCGCCCTGCTCTTGCCGCTGGTGCGCGGCCTCTCCGTGCGGGCAGGCTCGGCCCCTGGCCCCTCGCAGGGTCTCCAGCAAGTGCTCCACGGGGTGGCTCCCTTCCTCCCGTTGCGGCGGAGGAACACCGAACAGCAGATCTGCGGGCAGGCGAGACTCGCGACCAAACATCATTAGGAACGGGGTCTGTCCTGTAGAGGTGTGAACGGCGGTGGTGTAGGCGAACAGGGCATAGGGAAGGTGTTCGTCCCAGTCCTGTTGATTCGCGGCCGCCATGCATTTAAGCTTCCCGGCCAGAGTCTGGTTCATCCTCTCTACCATCCCGTTCGCCTGGGGGTGATACGCCGTGGTTCGGTCCTTCTGGATCCCGAACTCTCGGCACAGCGCCTGAAATAATTCGGCCTCGAATTCACTACCCTGGTCGGTAATGACTCGTTCGGGGATCCCGCACTTAAGTACATAGTTTTCCACGAAGGCCCGGGCCACTACAAGGGCTGTTTTATCTGGGATAGCCACCGCCACGGGGTAGCGGGTGAAGTATTCCACCGCTACGAGAATATATCGGTTGCCCCGGTGGGATCGTGGAAAGGGCCCCTGCAGGTCGATTCCGACCAACTGATTCGTCCGACTGACTCGGAACGGCCTCAGGGGTACCTGGTACCTCGCCGGCTTTTGCCCACACTGCTGACAGGCCCGGCAGCCCTGCACCCAGGCGGCCACATCTTGTGCCAATTTGGGCCAGAGATACTGGCGACGCAGGGTCTCCCGGGTG